CTCACCGCTCTCCCCTCTTTGTATTCCCCTTCTCCATCCCTCCGCCTCTCATCCCTCCCTGACAGGTCACCGGCGCATCTGTAGGCAGCAGGCAGCACGCAGCAGACAGCAGGCAGCAGGCAGCAGGCAGCAGTGAAGGCGTTGACTATCCTCCGCCTTCTAATCAAGCTAAGTGCCTTCTTGCTCCCTGCTCAAACTGTCGCACTGTTTGCCTCTCGCATCTCTCTGCTCCGTGCTTCCTCCATCCGTCCTCCATCCAAATCTGGCCATTCGTAGGGGCACGACGCACAAGCCACAGACCACCCCCCATCACTCCTCCAGCAGGTAAGCCCCTCAGGTTCAGTTTCAGACCCCCTAGGGTCATACAGCCTTTCAGGTAGCTTTGGGGGTCTGTGGCTTGTGGTTGCGCCTCCGCCAGTGGCCCCTCCTTCCCTTGCCTTATTCTTCTTTGTGTTCCACCTCGCCTGTCAACTCCCTGTGGCATCGCACTCTGCACTCTCCCTTCCCCCGTCATCCCACGTTACCGAAATTCATTCTCTCTGTGACTCACCTCATTCCTCCCCGCCCTCCCCTCCCTGCCGTCCCTGCCTTCCCTTCCCGCCAGGCCTGCACAAGCCAAGGCGAGAGCAGCGGGCGAGCAGCAAGCAACGTGGAGCGCCAAGGCGGGCAGCAGGGCAGCAGCACCAGGCCTCATCAACGGTTGAGGTTGCAGTATCGCCCCTGCCGCCACACTCCACATGAGCCCCCTCCCCCTCAGGTTCAGGTGCAGGTGCAGGTGCAGGTGCAGGTTGGTAGTGGCTCTTGTGGGGCTGTGGTTGGCGTCACATGCACCGTCTTTTTGCACTCGCACTGCTGTCAGAGTCTTCTCGTTTAAAGAGTCACTCCCTCCCACCTGCCCCTTACTATCTCCCTATCTCCCTCTCTCTTCTCCTCTGCCTCGCAGGTCCGTCCCTTCAACCCCCGCTCACCCTGCCCACTCTCCATTGAAGCACCCCCTCCGCCTGCACCACACAATCAGCTAAGTACCCGTTCCCTCATGCCCGCACCCTTGCCTGCAGCATTGTTTGGTTTGTTTCATCTGCTGTTGCACTGTCTTCTTGAAACAACGCCACTGGTTGGCTGCTGCTCACATGCTACAGACCCCCCTGCTTCAGGTAATTCCCTTAGGTGCAGGTAACCCTCTCAGGTGCAGGTAACCCTCTCAGGTGCAGGTAACCCTCTCAGGTGCAGGTAACCCTCTCAGGTGCAGGTAACCCTCTCAGGTGCAGGTAACCCTCTCAGGTGCAGGTAACCCCCTCTGGTGCATGTACACCCCTCAGGTTTTTTTTCAGGTGCCCTTGGGTCTGCAGTTTGTGGCCGTGCCTCAACCAGTGGCTCCTCCTCCCTTCCCTTGCGCTGGATTTCAAGTCACAGTTTCCCCTTCAACTTGCTCCCACCACTGCGCTCTGACTAGCTCTGTGTGTGCGCATTGCAGGGGCGCACACGAGAAGGCTGGGAGGAGGGCTGCTGCGGAGGGAGGCAGCTGGTGGTGCTGCAGCTGCCTTGAGCTCGCCCGCACGCCACCAGCTAAGTAACCCTCCTCCATGCCCTCACCTTCTTTGCATGTCATTTCGTTTGCTGGTTGTACGCTCTTCCCTTTGAAACAATGCCACTGGTCCAGCGCGGTTCACATGCCACAGACCCCCACACTTCAGGTATCTCCTCAGGTGCAGTGCAGGTAACCCTCTCAGGTGCAGGTCCCCCCCTCAGGTGCAGGTTCCCTTGGCGTCTGTGGCGTGTGGCCTTGCCTCAACCAGTGGCCCTCTTTCACATTTGGCAGTTCCGGTCTCTGCCTTGTGGTGTGCCCAGGCCATGCATTCTGACCACTGCCGTGTGTGTGCATTGCAGGTGGAGGGGAGGGGCGCTGGGGTCAACACCGACGCTTCCCCACGCCCCTCCCCTGTGGCCGTGCAGGAGGGAGGGAGGGAGGCAGCGCTGGGAGGGGACGGGAGGGAGGCAGCAGTGCAGCATGGCAATTGCGCTGCCTCAAGGGAGAGTATTGGCGTGGGCTTGGCCCTTCAAGGTAAGCCTCTTTCCAGCTTTTCTCTGCCACACTTGTTGCTGTGGGTCCTTGATGCTGCCTCTTCTGCTGCTTATCCTTGCGCTTCGCCCTTGCTTGCCTCACGGCCTGCACTCACTCGCCTCCTCTCCTTCCTTCCCTTCTGCCCCCTTCCAGGTCCCTTTCATGCAGCAGAGGCAGCTCTGTGCCACCTTCACGGGACCACTTGCGGCGGCACCAGCAGCAGCAGCAGCAGCGGTGGTGGTGGTGGCGGCGGCGGCGGCAGCAGCAGGGGAGGGGAGGGAGGGAGTCAGCATCCTGCAGCTAAGTGCCTTCCCTCCACCAGTGGCCCCTTCCCTCCACTTCCCTGCGTTTGTATTCCCAGCTGCCATGCCAGCCTTGTGTTATGATTGTACACTCACTATCTCTGCGTGTGTGCGTTGCCGGTGGAGGGAGGGGCGAGTGGGTCGACGCCAACACTCCCCCACGCCCCTCCCTTGTGGCCGTGCAGGTACCCATGGGGATGGGAGGGCGGCAGCACTGCAGCAGCTTGCTGGTGCCACAAGGGAGAGTATTGGGGTGGGCTGGCCTCTCAAGGTGCGTTACCTCCCTCCTTAGAGTGCATTTGTTGCTTCAATTCTCTTTGCATTTTGCCCGTGTTGTCTCTGTCAGCTTATGCGTTTCTGTGTTGACTTTAGTGTTTTTGTTCAGGTCACATAACTAACCTTCTGCCCTTTCTCTCCTGTCCCCCTCCCCCTTTTTCTGCCCGCCACCAGATCACTGGGCATCAAGAGAAGAGTGCAGCAGAGGAAGCAGAGTAGCAGACCGGCAGCAGCAGTTGCAGCAGCAGAAGCAGCAGTGCAGCAGCAGTGGGGGGGTGGGGGGCTGGGCAGGAGATTAGGCTAGGCATGGTGTGAGCGAGGTGTGGTAAAAGGTTTGGTAAGGTACCAGATAAGGTGTGGTGATCTGATTCCCTCCCCTCTCTCTCTCCCTCCCTTTCTCTCTTGCAGGCTGAAGGTGGGAGCACTGGAGCAAGGGCGGGAGAGTGGAGTCCACCCTCTCACTCACCTCCTCCTCTCTCCTTCTCCCTTCCCTCCCAGCAGCACCCTGCCCGGACCACAGTGGAGTTCGGCCCTCCCCGAAACCCCCCCCTCCCACTTCCCAGCAGCCTCAGCATCATGGCGCCCTGCAAGGCTGTGGTAAGTGGAGGTAAGTAGAGGTAAGAGGCATGTGGGTGAGGTGTGGGGGAGCATGGGAGCATGCAGTGAGGTCACTCCCACAGGGGCAGCATCCTCAGGGGTTGTGTCTTGTGGTGGTGGGAGTGTGGTGGGTGGAATCTTCGCGGCACGGCACTCGGTGCTCAAGTAACCGAACTGGCGTTCAAAGCTTAATGGACACCGTCAGAGTCGACCGGCCGGCGGCTCTGGTTCGCGTCAGCTCTAGCTACGTCGGGGGTGGGATTTGAGTCTTGGGCTGGAAGCGATTTTTCACTACCACTCCTCGCCCCACAAGGCGCAGCCCCTGAGGGTGCTGTTTCCAAAGGAAATGGGCTGTCTGCTGCTCCTCTTGCTGGCAAGAGAAGGTGAGGAGGGGCTGAAGCCCCTTGGGAGGGTGAGTGAGAGAGAAGGGGCTGAAACCCCTTGGGTGGGTGAGTGGGAGAGAAGGGGCTGAAACCCCTTAGGTGGGTGAGTGGGAGAGAAGGGGCTGAAACCCCTTGGTTGTGTGAGTGGGAGAGGAGGGGCTGAAACCCCTTGGGTAGGTGAGTGAGAGGGAAGGGGCTGAAACCCCTTGGGTGGGTGAGTGGGAGAGAAGGGGCTGAAACCCCTTGGGTGGGTGAGTGGGAGAGAAGAGGCTGAAACCCCTTGGGTGGGTGAGTGGGAGAGAAGGGGACTGGGTAGGTGGGTCGGCGGGTTGGTGGGTGGGTAGGTAGGTTGTGGATAGAAGATGGGCTGGGTGGGAGGTTGGGTAAGTGGGTAGGTAGGGGGGCGGGTGGGTGATTAGGTGGGTACTTGGGTGGGTGGGTAGATGGATAGTTGGAGGATAGGTGAGTGGTTGGATTTGTGGGTGGACGGGTGGGTGGATAGGTAGGCTGGGGAATAGATGGGTAGGTTGGTGGGTGGGTAGTTGACTGGGTGAGTAAGTGGGCGGGTGATTAGGTGGGTAGGTTGGTGGGTGGGTAGTTGACTGGGTGGGTAAGTGGGCGGGTGATTAGGTGGGTAGGTTGGTGGATGGGTAGTTGACTGGGTGGGTAAGTGGGCGGGTGATTAGGTGGGTAGGTTGGTGGGTGGGTAGTTGACTGGGTGGGTAAGTGGGCGGGTGATTAGGTGGGTAGGTTGGTGGGTGGGTAGTTGACTGGGTGGGTAAGTGGGCGGGTGATTAGGTGGGTAGGTTGGTGGGTGGGTAGTTGACTGGGTGGGTAAGTGGGCGGGTGATTAGGTGGGTAGGTTGGTGGGTGGGTAGTTGACTGGGTGGGTAGGTGGGCGGGTGATTAGGTGGGTAGGTTGGTGGGTGGGTAGTTGACTGGGTGGGTAAGTGGGCGGGTGATTAGGTGGGTAGGTTGGTGGGTGGGTAGTTGACTGGGTGGGTAAGTGGGCGGGTGATTAGTGAGGAGCGGCTGGCTGGGTGAGTGGGTGGATGTATGGGTGCGTGGGTACCTGGTTGGCTGGTTAGTTTAGGTGGGTGAGTGGGTGGGTGGGTCGGTCGTTGGGTGATTAGGTGGGTGGGTGGTGGGTAGTGAGCAGGTGGTTGGGTGTGTGGGGTGGGTGTGTAACAGTGTGGTTAGGTGGTGGGTGGTGCGTTTTGTGGTTGAGTGTGTGAGAGTGATGGGTTGGTTGGGTGACTGGGTGAGTAGTTGGGTGATGGATGATGGGTAGGTGGGTGATGTGTAGGTGGATTGTGGCTGGTGGGTAGGTGGGTAGGTGGGTAGGTGGTTAGGTGGGTTCTGGCGCACAGTGAGTTGGGCATGGTGGGTTGTTATGAGGCAGGTTGGGCTGGGTTCTCAAGTAGGAGGTGCAGAGGGGGTGGCTGTGGGCTGGGGAAGAGTGACCTGAGGGTGCAGGTGAGGTATCAAGGGATGGACATAGGTTGGGTGAGGTGAGGGGGGAAGCCGGGTGTATGGCAGGACAAGTGGCAGGTTGGTCAAGTTGATGTGGGTCGGGTAAGAAAGTTTGGAATGATGCAGGTTGGGCTGGTCAGGGCTGGATGGGGATACTGCGGAGTGGGTGGGCGAGGGTGGAGTGGAGTGAAGGATGGGTGTAATACGACGCGAAGGTGATCATGGGCGATATGTGGTAAGTGAGTTGAGGAGATTGGGTGAGATTCGGTGATATCAAGCAGACTGGCCTACGTGGGCTGGCCGGGGGGAGGAGCTAGAGGCAGGGAAGGACTGGAATAGTAGTGAGGGGTCCCAGTACTGCTGTGCTTTGGCCTGGGGAGGATTGGGAAGGGACGTGGGTGAGTGATGCCATGCGTGCGCTGCTGCTGGGGCTGGTGTGCGTGTAGGCGGGGGTGAAGGAGGTGCTGCTCGTGGACAAGACGGAGGGCGTGGCAAGCAGCAGTGGGGACGAGGTGAGTGGATCGGCTGGGAATGAGGGTGGCGCAAATTGCTGAAGGCAAGCGCGCGATGAGTGAGTGAGTGTGTGTGTGGGTGACCGTGTGATTGAGTGATTTAATAAGCGAGTGAGAAAGCGAGGGAGTGGGCGAGTGTGTATGGGTGATCGTGTGATTGAGTGAGTGAGTGAGTGAGTGAATGAGTGAGTGCCTACCCCGAAATCCTTAATTGATTTTCTTGAATTTATGCCTACCCCGAGCTCCATTGATTGATTCGTGTGACTGCAACGTCACTGCAGCAGAGGTCGGCTGATTCTAATCTAATGCATGGTGGTGTGACTGTTACTGTGACTGTTGCTGTGGCTGTGACTGTGACTGTGACTGTGATTGTGATTGTGGCTGTGACTGTGTGACTGGCTCTGGCGGTGACTGTAGCTGTGGCTGTGACTGTGACTGTGGCTGTGACTGTGACTGTGGCTGTGGCTGTGACTGTGACTGACTGTGGCTGTGACTGTGACTGTGATTGTGACTGTGACTATAACAGGTTGAGCCGGCAGAGTTTTCAAGGGAGCTCTCTCTCCTGCCCCACATCGTCAGGAGCGGCCCTCAAGTTGTCTTTGCTCGCTCCGTTGCCAGGGCTGCTCCATACCTTTCAAGGGCTGCTGTATCAGGGTGGTATGGGGGCTAGCTTTACCATAGCTGTACCTGGAGGTGAGTTTGCGGTGACCTTTTTTCAAGTGACTGCCTCATCTCCCTAACCACCTGTGCCCCTTCACCCACCTCCCTGACCCTCAAACACCTGCCCTGCCTCTGTCCCTTCCTCTCCACACGCTGAACATCACCCAACTCTTTAGATTTCGTTTCCCTGTTTTGTTTGCTACAATGGGGGATTAAGGGGGACTTGGGGGAGACTTGGGGGGTGGGGGACAACAACGCGTCGTGTCTCTGCTGGCTGGGCCCTCCGCCACGCGCTCTCGCCGCCCACCTCCCGCTGTCCACTGCCACCTGCCTCCTCCCACCTCTCCTTGTCCTCTCTCCCCTCTGCTCCCATCCTCTCGTTCTCTCTCCTCTCTCATCCTCTTCTCGTCCTCTCTCCACTGTGCTCCTCTTCTCAATCTCTCCCCTCCCTCTCCCATACTCTCTCAATCTTCTCTCCTCTCTGCTCCCCTCTTCATTCTCTCTCCTCTCTCATCCTCTTCTCGTTCTCTCTCCCCTCTGCTCCTCTTCTCAATCTCTCCCCTCTCCCCTACTCTCCCAATCCTCTTTCCTCTCTGTTTTCCTCTACATTCCTTGCTTCTCCTCACTTCATTCTCTCTTGTCTCTGCTCCTCTTGTCAATCTCTTGCCTCTATCACCTGTTTCCTGTGTTGTTGATTGTTTAGTTGTTTGTCTGTTTGCTGAGAAGTTCCCAGTGGTTCAGAGTGGTTCCCGGCAGTGCTGAGTGGTTCAGAGCGGTGCTGAGCCGTGCCGAGTGGTTGTGAGTGGTCGTGAGCGTCGGTGAGCGGTGTTGTGCGGTGCCGAGTGCCGCTGTGTGGTTGTGAGCGGCAGTGAGCGATGCGGAATGGTTTTGTGCGGTCGTCAGTGGTGCCGATTGCTCTTCAGTGGTGCCGAGCGGTGGTGGACCGTGCTGAGCGGTGTTGAGTGGCCATGTGCGGTGCTGAGCGTTTTGGAGCGGTGCTGAGCGGTTTGGAGCGGTGCTGAGACGTGCCGAGTGGTTGTGAGTGATCCTGAGCGGCGGTGAGCGGTGTTGTACGGTGCCGAGTGAGCGATCGGTGAGTGAGAGAGTGAGCGAGCTAGGTAGAGTCATTACAGATCTAGATTCTGATTCCTTTATCCAATTCTTAGAAGCTTGCAATCCGTGAGTGATTGTTGAGTGAGTGAGCCCATGCATCCATTGACTCATGCACCCATGCGATCACGTACCCATGCACCCATACCCCAAGATCAGGAGCCGCTTGTGCGCGTGTAGCCTCGCCTGGAGGAGCAACTGCAGGTGGATAAGGCGCAAGGCGTGGGGCAAGCGAGACTGGACTAGAGTAACGCTTAGGGGTGTGACACGAGGGGGGTGTGGCTGGAAGAAACATGGGTTCCAGCCGCGCTCCCCTCGTGTCACACCCCTAAGTGTTACTCGTTTCGTCCAGTCTCGCTTGCCCCACGCCCTGCGCCTTATCCACCAGCAGTTGCTCCTGGTGTGAAGGAAGATAGCATTGAATTTGGTTCAGGAGGTTCTTTGGGGAAGCAAGTTCGCAGGGGAGTATGAGCTATGTTTAAACCACTTTCTTTTCACCAGCTCCCATCCCTTCCTTTCCGTTCCCCCCTTTCGCAGCCTAGACACAAATAGGACGAAGGTGGTTTAAACGGAGTAACGTAGGGCTAGACGACACAGGAGTTGGCATTCAGATTGAGTTTATGAAAGAAGGAGGGTGTTGCGATATAGATTGGATGGGAACACATTATTGTATGCAACAGGATAATGCAGTTTCAGACGCAGTTGGTTTCTTACGCAATGGGACAGGCAGTCATTTTCAAGGCGCAACTGACAGTGCACCTTTTACCATAACGAACATACCGTAGGGCCAATGTATTTTGCTTTGGCTGTCATTTTAGTCCCTTACAATACAAACTAAGATAGTCCTTGATTCTATGCTCAGTTTATAGATGTAACAAGGAAGATTCACAAATGTCCAGTAACTCGTCAAACAGTCTTCACCCGTTCTCACCTCAAAAACATCCGCGATAAGGATTCCGGCCCTTTCGCTGGGGCTGATGGTAACGGGGTGGACGCGCTCCTGCATGTTTCGCCAAACCAATCAGGGGGGCCCGTTGGAATGGGAAATCTCCCGTGTGCAGCGTCAGTTGCAAGCTCACACCCAAATCGCGGGTCAACTGAAGTCCCTCTCCTAGCCCTCCCGCCTCCATTTGGTTCTGTGGGTTGTGTGTTGCGTTGTGCAGTAAGGAATAGTTTCTACCCGTGTAGATCTACTGAACCGTGCTGCGAGCGACTCGTCCTCGTTCGTGCCAGTAGAAGCAGGATCTGCAACAAAAAGCAGATTAGCGGCCACGAGAGGCCATCCCACCTTTCTCCTCCGAAGGCTCTCCGAGCTGAGTCTTCTTGTGAAATATATATATCGCATGACTGGACGCGTTTTGCACCGCATAGTACGAGCAGCAGCAGTCCGCACTGCTGCGAGACCGCACGGATGACGGCAGGCGCTTCAGTCCACGCTGGCAGTACCAAACGACGCCATTGCCGTAGTAGATTCGCACGTCGTTCTTTCGTGTTCGTGCCGCTGCCACTGCCGCTGCCGCCGCCGCTGCTGCTGCTACGGCTATTTCTCCTGCTTTGCAACGACGGAACCACAAATAGCGGCCTAGATGGGTGGTTCGTCAGCAGCAGCAGTAGCGCGCAGTTCACTGCATGTCCGCGAGGGATCCCCGTGGTCGCCGCTGAGCCACGTCTGGACAAGTCACAAGGTGCTGCCACGTGTGATTCCATGCGCGGCGGTGACGCGGCGTGACGTGCGATCCGAACCCCGCTCTCCTCGTCCCGTAATTCCCGCATAGAAACTCCTTACATGCCGGCTTCCCGTTCGCGTCGTTGCCCCTACCCACATCCTCCCCATCTCCCCACATTCTCTCTGCTCCCCCCACAGTGGCGCCGCTGGCGGCGTGCGCGGCGGCATGGGGCGTGGCGTTCGTAGACCCGTCCGACCCCACGGATTGTGGGATCGCCCTCAACATCACATGCGACGCCGCCGGCATGGTCGACTGGATGTGAGGCCTCATCGCCCGCTGCCCGCTGCCCGCTGCCTGCTGCCCGCTGCCCGCTGCCCGCTGCCTGCTGCCCGCTGCCCGCTGCCCGCTCCACGCTCCACACTCCACGCTCCAACCCACCGCATCGGCACGTGGCTGAACCGTTTGAATAACAAGAGCCTCCATATGAATAGTGACCTTTATATCTTTGGCTGAACTCAAAAGCAACAAGACGTTCCTCCTCCTGCTCGCCTCCTCTTACTTCCTCTCCCTTCCTCTCCCATCCCATTCCACCCTCACTCATTAACTTTCCTCTCTCCCCCTCCCACCCTCCCTCTCTCTGCGCCCCCCCAACCTATATCTCTCACTCCCCTCGTTGCCATGCGTCAGGGTGTTGAACAGCGGGGGCATAGCAGGACCCATCCCGCCCAGCATCGGCGCCCTCATCGGACTCACTCATCTGTCAGCCTCCCTGCCCCTCCACCCTCCACCCTCGCACCGCTTGCACCGTGCCGGCCCCTGTTTGCAATGCAATTTTGGTTGTCTCGCCACTCTCGACTGCTGTTGTTCAATGCTCAACGATCCCACCTCCCTATTATCGCCACCGTCCCTCGTTGCGGCCTCTCCGCCCCCCTTCATTCTATCCTCCCCATCCATCCCCATCCTTGCAATAGCAGAGCCACGTGCACGCAACAACTGTACACATATATATTTCTATCCACACGCATCCGTAACCCTCCATCCCCCATCCCCTCCGCCTGCTCCCCTGTTTACCCATGGTCCTCTCCCATTGTGCAACACGTGTCTCTATTGCATGCATGTGCATGTGCCGTGCAGTGATCTAGACAACAACGCACTGACCGGGTCCATCCCACCCACCATCAGCCGCCTCACACGCCTGCTCTACCTGTCAGTCACTCACTCACTCACCCCACCACCCTCCCCACCTGTCAGTCACTCACCCTTCCTGCCCACTTGATTCTTTTGTGTAATCCTCTCCACCTCGCTTCCCTCTCCTCACACATCTCCTCCCCAACCACATCGAACACACAGAGACCCCCCTCTGCCCCTCTTTCTCCCTTTCCCACTCCCGGCTGCCCACTCCGCAGCGACCTGAGTTACAACCAGCTCTCCGGCTCCATACCCACCGCCATCGACGGCCTTCTCTCAATCACTGAGCTGTATGAATGCAGGCAGTATGCCGGGCATTTGTCTCTGGAGTATCTTGTTTCGAGATGTCTGCATGCATCAATGCCCAGCGCATTCCTTACCGTGCCTCCTCGTTCTATTTCTTGTGTCTGCCTGCATTCCTCTCCTGTTCCGCTCGTCCCTGCCACCCTCTTCCCGCTGCAGCAACTTTCGCAACAACAGGCTGACTGGCAGCATTCCTGCGGTTATTGGCAATCTCACCACACTCAATGACCTGTGCGCCCTCTCTCTATCTCTCACTCTCTTTACTCTTCTCTCGTGACCTCCCCACCACCACCCTACTTCTTGTTCCTACCATCTTCCTTTATTATTCCCTCGGCCATCTTTCCTTCACCTGGATCCACTATCGTATTCCTGGAATCTCTTGACTTCCTGGATTCTCTTGAAATTCTGCAACGCCTTGGGCAAATTCCTGGACTCATCGCTCTCACAGGCACATACCAACCTCCTATTCTCCCCTGCACCCCTCCCTTCCCCTCCTCCCTCTCGTGCTGCTACCTCCCATCACATCACCACACGCAGCTACCTGTCATCGAACCAACTGAACGGGTCCCTGCCAGCCCAGATCGGCAACCTGCACCACCTCTCCACGCTGTGAGTGACCCGCGCTTGCCTCCTCGCCTCCTTGCTCTCCTCCCTTCCATGCACGTGTGTGCACCACCATGAGGCGTGTGAGGAATGCGAGGAAGTGGGCGCAGATGGGGTTAAGAAAAAGGGTTCACCAGGAAGGAATGGTGGGGGAGGAGAAGATACGGCGAAGATGGAGCGACGACACGAATGCTTTTCTGGTCAATCTGTGTGGTGTGGCTCCATCCTTTCTCTTGGACCCCCTTTCTAACCCTCCCTCCCTCCCCCCCTCCCCCCCCCTCACCTCCTCCCAGGGACGTCATATCAGGCAACCAGCTATCTGGCGTGGTACCACCTGTGCTTGGAGGCATTCCCCTCGGAACCCTGTGAGCCCCCCCCCCCTGGCCCCTTGCCTACCTCCCTGCTGCTCCGCCCCCTGCCTGCCTGCCCGCCTGCCTCCCTCCACTGCCCTGTCCTGTCCCCCTCGATTTTCCTCTGCCTCGCGTGCACCTCTCCTTCCATCGCTTCGCCCTCCCATGCCATGCCATTCGTCCATGCCACCGCCATCCCTGCTTCCTTGCTCATACCTTCTCTCATGCCCTTTCTCATGCCTTCTCTCACGCCCCCTGCATGTCCCCACGTGCCACTGACTGACCAGTTCGATCTACGACTCCAACGTCACGTGTCCCACCGGCGGTTCCTGTCAGCTCAAGCAGGACCCCATGTCCGCCTTCTGCCTCGAATGCCCCGACTTCTGCGCCTCCTGCACGCCCTCCCCTGGTGCTACTCTCCTCTCGTGCTGCCCTCCCCTGGTGCTGCCTTGCCCCCCCCCCGTCCTCGGATCACAGTGCACATCCCATGCGTTGCCACCCACGCAATGCCAACCTATCACACCCCTTTGCTATCCTCCCTCTGCCATTTCCCTCTCAAACGGTCGGTCTCGCTCTTCCTCTCCACCTCAGTTTCAGCCCCTTTCAAGAATTGTATATAATATTTCTCCTCCTTCTCCCTGCGTCTCTCACCCTCTCACTCTCCCTGTCCTGCCCCACTCACCCCTGCAGGAAGCCCCCCTCCCCCAGCCCGCTCCCCTCTCCCTGCGCCCGCGTTCCCACCACCACGTGTCCCCCGCTCCCCGCCCGCAGCAGCTTTCCCTCCCCTCATCTCTCAACCCTCTCCCCCTCCACCTTCTCTCTCCCCTCCACCTCCCAGAATCACTCTCTCTCCTCCTGTACCTACCACTTCCCCTCCTCCCGAGCTCTCTCTCTCACCACCTGCCCTCCCATCCCAACCCTCGCCCTCGACCAATCCCTCCTTGACTCCTCCTCCTTTTCCTCCTCCACTCCCCTCCTCCCCATCCGTGCCTCCAACCAACAGCAGCAGCAGTGGTGGAGGGGTTTCAGTGGCAGTGGTGGCAGGGGTAGCAGCAGCAGCGGTGTGCGTGGTGGTGGTGCTGCTGGTGCTTGGGTTTTGCTGGTGGAGAAGCAAGAAGAAGAAGCAGCATGTTCCATCTGGTGGGTGTGTCACTGATAGTTTCTTTCTATTCTTTCAAAGAGTTTTTATAAACATTATCTTGGTCAATGACACAGTAGTATCTGTTTTTCTTCGTTCGAATTCCTCTTCCTGCTCCCGCTAACACCACAACTCCCACTCCCACTGTCCTATCCTTTGGGCCTTCTCGATCACTCTCTCTCAGCCTCACCTCCCTCCCTGCTGTGGCCTTCCTGCATCTTGTGCGCCCTGTGTGACTGCACTTTACCCCACAGGCGCGTCCCATGCCTCCTCACAGCCATTTCTGGACCCACACGCAACTGCAGGTGCGTTGTCCGTGTGCATAGGTGTGGGCTTGTGTTCCTGCTGGCAGTAAGTCGGAGCTCGTGCCTCAGGTCAACTCTAGTAGCTCTTTCCGCCTACAGCATCACTCATTCCGCACTGCCCTTTCGCGCATCTCTAGTAAGCTAATAGTCTGTTCCTGGCGCCACACATCCAACTATCCCAGCCACCACGCACCACCACTATCACCACCACAACCACCACCACTGCCACAATGCACCTGCAGTCCCAATGCACCTGCAGTCCCAACGCACCTGCAGTCCCAACGCACCTCCAGTCCCAACGCACCTGCAGTCCCAACGCACCTCCAGTCCCAACGCACCTGCAGTCCCAACGCACCTCCAGTCCCAACGCACCTGCAGTCCCAACGCACCTCCAGTCCCAACGCACCTGCAGTCCCAACGCACCTGCAGTCCCAACGCACCTCCAGTCCCAACGGACCTCCAGTCCCAACGCACCTCCAGTCCCAACGCACCTCCAGTCCCAACGCACCTCCAGTCCCAACGCACCTGCAGTCCCAACGCACCTCCAGTCCCAACGCACCTCCAGTCCCAACGCACCTCCAGTCCCAACGCACCTGCAGTCCCAACGCATCCAGTCCCAACGCACCTCCAGTCCCAACGCACCTGCAGTCCCAACGCACCTGCAGTCCCAACGCACCTCCAGTCCCAACGCACCTCCAGTCCCAACGCACCTCCAGTCCCAACGCACCTCCAGTCCCAACGCACCTCCAGTCCCAACGCACCTCCAGTCCCAACGCACCTCCAGTCCCAACGCACCTGCAGTCCCAACGCACCTCCAGTCCCAACGCACCTCCAGTCCCAACGCACCTCCAGTCCCAACGCACCTCCAGTCCCAACGCACCTCCAGTCCCAACGCACCTCCAGTCCCAACGCACCTCCAGTCCCAACGCACCTCCAGTCCCAACGCACCTGCAGTCCCAACGCACCTCCAGTCCCAACGCACCTCCAGTCCCAACGCACCTGCAGTCCCAACGCACCTCCAGTCCCAACGTACTATTTTGACCCCCCCTTCATTATCCAGCAGGGCAAGGAGAAGGAGCAATGGCTGCAGCCAAGCCATCCCTGGAGGCGACAAACAGCAGCGGCAGCGACAGCAAGCATAACAGCAGCAGGAACAGCTCTGCCCCATACCAACCAGTGACGCCCCTCGGGTCGACAGACGCGCCGCCCCTGTTCCACCAGTTCGCTCTGCGTGAGCTGGAGGCCGCCACGCAGTGCTGGTCCCCCGATTGCAAGATCGGCAGCGGGGCGTTTGGTGACGTGTACCGGGGGGTGTGCCCTGGGAATGCGGGCGTGGTGTGGGCGGTGAAGCGCGCTCGAATCATCAGTGCGGACTTTAGACGAGAGGTGAGCGAGGCAGGAGGGTTTCAATAGGAGAATAGCACTCTCTTTCTTTAACGCCTAATGTCCCTCCTGCCCTCCCAAGTGCTGCTCCTCCGCTCACTCTTACCCCTCGCCACAAAGCTGATGGAGTTAAGGCGTGTGCAGCAGCCCACCTGTCCCCCTTCCACCAGTGCAGGTGGACCAGATGGCGACGAAACACCACCCCAACCTGGTGCGGCTGCTGGGGTTCTGTAACGACGTGGATGCTGCATCGCAGCTGCTGCAGCAGATCCTCGTGTACGAGTTCATGGGCCAGGGCGACCTTGCTAAGCGCATGCGCACAGGTGAGAGCGAAGGAGCGAGGGAGAGAGGTGCAACAGCGTGGTTGTGGGGTCACAGCGGCCGCAGCAGATCCTCGTGTACGAGTTCATGGGGCAGGGCGACCTCGCTAAGAGGATGCGGACAGGTGGGTGAATGAATTTGCGAGTGAACATGCATCACGAGTGGATAGATATCACTCACGAGTGAATGCATGGCAGTGGCAGGTAGTCTCGTGTCCTCGTCTCCTTGCACGAGTGAAGTAGGGTGTTTTTTAGAATTCTCAAAAACATCCTCGTCTCACTGCACGAGTGAATGCGCGTTTTAGAATTCCCAATGTGTGCCTGCCGCCTGCCACCTGCCGCACAGCAATCCTACATCATTCATGTCCGCATCTTCCATTCCTTGCTATTTGCCCTTTCTCCCCTTCTCCCGTGCAACAATCAGAACCCCCTCTGACCCTGCAGCAGCGGCTGGACATTTTGATCGGAGCAGCGCGCGGGTTGGAGTATCTCCACAGCTTTGGCATCGTGCATCGCGACATCAAGCCCGCCAACATCCTGCTGAATGCACACATGCAGGTGAGTGCAGGCGGTGATGGGTGTGCCATGAGAACCAACATGCAGGTGCATAAAGTGATGCATCTTCTTTTTCTTTTCCCACCTTTCCTCCTGCTTTTCCCTTCACCCTGCACTTGTTCCTTTTCTCTTGTTCTCAGACGTCTCATATCTGCTGCTGTTGCCTGCTATGGCCTGCTACGCCACCCCCTCTCACAACTTCCCCACTTTTCCGTTCGCCCTCGCCCCCCACCTCCCCTCGCCCTACCGTGAATGCATGTGGCACAGGCCAAGGTGTCGGACTTTGGTCTCCTGCGCCTGGGAGAGGGACGCCCCACCACCACCACCAGCGCTGGCAACACGAGCAGCGGCAGCGGTGGTGGTGGTGGGTGGGGTTCCACGCGAGTGATGGGCACACCGGGCTATGTGGACCCTGTCTATTACAAGACACACAAGGCCACTCCATCACTTGATGTATACAGGTGCGTAGCGCATACAAGACCACTCCAGCGGTTTCGGTTTCAAGTTACTCCTCCCTGCCCTCCTCTCGTTCCCCTTGCCTTCCCAATATCTCCACCGAATCCCCCTTCTTCACACTGTGTCCCCCACTATTCCCCTCTCCGTTCCTGCCCTCCCACCCTGTCCCCCGGTTCCCGGCGAGTCAGCTTTGGAGTGGTGATGCTGGAGGTGGTGCTGGGGCGAGGCCCGGTGGTGCTGCTGGGCACAGAGTGCATCAACATCAAGGACTGGGTGAGTCTTGAACCCAATCAAAAGTCACTAAAGTGGTGCTGGGGTGGGATTCCGTGGTGCTCATGGGCATGGAGTGATTTGCACCCTCCGTGCCGCTCCTTGCCCTTGTTATTTCTATGCTCCGCACGCCGTTCTCTCCAACCTCATCACATCGTCCCTTCCCCCTCTGCTTGCACAACCCTGTCAGGCCGCCCCTCTCCTAGCTGCCGACGACCTCACACCACTGCTAGACCCCTCGTTACAAGCACAGCCGCCAGGCACCCTCCCCAGCAGCACCCACAGCCGGGAGCAGCAGCTCCGTCTAACAAGGGCGCTGACAGAGCTGGGGCTGGCATGCACGCACGTGCCCACGGCCTCGCGCCCCTCCATGGCCTCCCTCATCTCCTCCCTCTCCTCGCTCAAGCGCGAGTTCTTTGGCACACTGGAGGGCACGAGGGATAGCAGTGGGGGGCGCAAGGGGTATGGGAATGCAGGCGCTGCTGGTGACGCTGCTGGTGGCGCTGGTGCTGGTGGTGGTGCTGGTGGTGGTGGTGTTGTGGGGAGGGTTATTCACGAAGAGGACGAGGAGAATGGTGCGCTGGAGCTATCAGACGGCATTGGTGCAAGGGCTGGCGGAGTAGGAGCAGGAGCAGGAACTGGTGAATTGGCAGGGGCAGCAGGAGAAGCGCCTGGGAAGCAAAAGGGAGATGGAGGCGGGATGGTGAGCGATGTGGGATTGCAGGAGAGTGCAGAGGAGGTGGACAGGGCGTTCATGGAGGGGCTGAAGGAGCAGGGGCGCACTCTGGACGAGGAGCTGTTTATTCTGAACCACATGCTCGTCATGTCTGCCGTGCAGCATAGTGGTATGCACCTGTCCTCCTCCTCCGCCTTGCCATCCCATGAGCATTCCGGGCGCAGTGGCTTTTGAGGCGCCTCAAAAAGGGGCGCACTCTGGATGAGGAGCTGTCTATACTGAACCACATGCTCGTCATGTCTGCTGTGCAGCAAAGTGGCATGCACCTGTCCTCCTCTGCCTTGCCATCCCAGGAGCGTGCCTAGCGTGGAGGCATCTGAGTGCTGATGCAGGGTAAATATGGTTTATGGCATGTGACATTTGCTGATAGGCCAAAGACATGGATCCAGATTTGGTCTGGTTGCTTTGTTTGTGTAGCCAGGATACCTAAATGCACTGCAGACAACAGCAGTGTAGCAATAGCCACAAATTTATTAACTATGTAGGCCACTATGTACAATAAACGGGAAAACCAGAGAAACTATTTATTTCCACTTTGCATGCAACTACCCACCCAAGCAAGCATGTAGACTGCATAAAACAAGCAACTACTCACACCTCACCCCAACACACCAGAGCTCTAAGCCACATAAAAAACCTGTACAAACTACACCCAACACACTACGGTATGTACAATGGGGATGGACCAGGCCCAAGGAGCATGAACAGTGCAACCCACGTCACACACACTTGTAGCCCTTGCAGCTGCGGACATAGGGCCTGCAGCGCTTGCCCTTGGGGCATGCCTTGCGCGGACACGCCCTTCTCCTCTTCTTGCATGGCTTGTTCGGCTTGTCAACTGGGCGGACGGAAGGGGGACGACAGGCAGTGGGGTGGGGGCAGGGCTGACTTTTCGAATAAAACCACTCTGATTTTTTTGGCCCCCCAATTTTTTTTAGTCTGAGGCCCATTTTCCAAAAAGTGAATACTCTGATTTCTCAGGAACCAGAGAAGTATAACTCTGAAAATTTTATAATTCATAGACTAAGGCAGGTTTTCCTACTAACGAACCTTTTGCACAAGTTCGGAGGGATGGGTTTTCCTCGAAGTAACAGGTATGGCGAAGGGGAGTTCGTACTCTGTAGTATGAAAACTCATTATCCGGTAAGCAAGTTCTCTGAATTTTTCAGTATCGAAAAAACCATTAGTCTGAAGCACTCATTTTTCAAAACCAGCCAACTCTGAAAAATCAGGAATGTCAGGAAAATAGTCTGAAATTTCAGACAATCAGACTAAAATAGTCTGATATCGTCAGCCCTGGGTGGGGGCGAGGTGGAGAGAGGACAGGTTAGAGAGACCAAGGGATGGATGGATGGAGTGACGAAGGACGGGCGGATGGAGAATTGGATGCATGGATGCACGAGTGAAGGAGAGGAAGAACTGACTGATAGGAGGGGGTTCGGTGCAGGAGGAGCAGAATTCAGGGCAGAGGCGACAGAAGGCAGTCCAGGAGATCTGATACACCTCGCAGCTGGCACCCGCTGCCCCACATGTCACCTCCCCAGTGTCCACACCGCTGCATACACAAGGGAGGGGAAAAGGGAGGGAACGAGGGGATGAGTGAGTGGATGAAGGAACGACGGAACGAGGGGATGAAGGGATGGTGAAGACAGAGGAGAGGTTTTGCGATGAAAACTTGTGTTAAAACTCTAAAGATTGAGATGCGAGGGCGTAGCTTGCTTGCACCCACAGGATATCAAGGAAAGTGATGTTCCCCAGAGTGGCAGGGATCGTTCCTGTGAGATCATTCGAAGTCAGGTCCCTGCAGGCATGGGATTGGAGCAGTGGGAGAGAGTGAGGAGTGTAGAGGAAAATTTGAGGCACACAGAGGAGAGAGTGAGGAACACGGAAGAGGAGAGAGCGAGGAAGATGCAAGAGAGGGCAAGGAGCACGCAGGAGAGAGGTAAACATGAAATACGGAGCACAGGGCAACGCATGCGAGCAAAAAACATGGGTAGGTGCTACAATGGAAGCGAAGAAGTGAGCAAAACGGGGTGGCGAGGAGGTGTTGAGGGAGGAGAAGCACACATGGAGTTAGGAGTGAGTGGGGATAGAGGAAGTGAAGAAGAAGGGAAGAAGTAGGCAGTAGAGAGATAAGGGGTTCGAAAGAGAGGAGACGCACAGAAAATTGAGATTAGTGAGGCCGCCAAGGGTAGAGGGAATGGCTCCTTCGAGATGGTTGAAGCTGACGTTGCTGCAGCGAGAAGTTGAGGGAACGGGGATGATGGGATGATTGGTATGAGGAGAAGATGATGGATGAGGGTGGATGGTGTGACATGGTGTGCCATGATGTAGTATGGTGTGGCATAATGTGGCATGATGTGGCAGTGTGCGTGTGGCATGGTGTGACATAATGCTTCACGACGTGGCATGAGATGGCATTGTGTGGCATGGTGTTGCACGAGAAGAGTCAAGTGATGTAAGGGCCCACACTGAGGTTGTGGGTTGACAGGACAGTGACTACATGGCGGTGGCCTGTCAACGGCCGCATCACATGCAACGAGGGGCGTGTGAGACGAGAAGGGCGTTTGAGATAACAACAGGCGAGAAAGGCGAAGAGGGGAGTTGAAGGAGGCGAGGGAGAGGGGAGCATACAGGGCGGTAAGCAAGGGAGAGGAGAGCATACAGGGCGGCAAGCAAGGGAGAGGAGAGCATACAGGGCGGTAAGCAAGGGAGAGGAGAGCATACAGGGCAGTAAGCGAGGGAGAGGAGAGCATACAGGGCAGTAAACGAGGGAGAGGAGAGCATACAGGGCGGTAAACGAGGGAGAGGAGAGCATACAGGGCGGTAAACGAGGGAGAGGAGAGCATACAGGGCGGTAAGCGAGGGAGAGGAGAGCATACAGGGCGGTAAACGAGGGAGAGGAGAGCATACAGGGCGGTAAACGAGGGAGAGGAGAGCATACAGGGCGGTAAGCGAGGCTAACATGCCGATGCTGGTTGGGATGGACCCCGGCAACTCATTCTCCTCCAGCCTCCTGCACACTCACATGCACATGTGCACACACGCATACATTGATTCATGGGGTACACACACAGCAGACATGATTTGTGCACATGGAAGCATGCGGGTCAGCACATGGAAGCATGCGGGTCAGCACATGGACTCCCCATATATACATGCACAGACACACATAAGGACGCAATACAAGGGTGCAAGAGCAGGTGAGAGTGGCACTGACAGGGTGTTGAGGTCGGTAAGCTTCTTGAACGCGTTTGGCAGCGGCTGGTTGAGGGCGTTGGCATTGAGAATACTGGCCCAGGGGGCAAGGCGGGACAGGGATGGGAAGGGGGGGAGAGCGGAACGGAGGAGAGGAGTGAAGAGGGGAGGTAGGGGGGATAGGAGAGAGTGGAGAGGAAGGGAGGGGAGGGGAAGGGAGGGGAGGGGGGGGGGGAGGGGAGGGGAGGGGAGGTAGGGATGAACATGGTAGGAGAGGTGAGGAAAGGAGGGTCCCAACAGGATACAAGGGCCAAGGCAGTAAGCGAATGAGGCATGACAGAAAGCGATGGGGCATGACAGAAAGCGATGGGGCATGACAGAAAGCGATGGGGCATGACAGAAAGCGAATGGGGCATGACAGAAAGCGAATGGGGCATTACAGAAAGCGAATGGGGCATGACAGAAAGCGAATGGGGCATGACAGAAAGCGAATGGGGCATGACACCGAGCGAATGGGGCATGACAGAAAGCGAATGGAGCATGACAGAAAGCGAATGGGGCATGACAGAAAGCGAATGGGGCACGACAGAAAGCGAATGGGGCATGACAGAAAGCGAATGGCGCATGACAGGAAGCGAATGGCGCATGACAGAAAGCGAATGGGGCATGACAGAAAGCGAATGGGGCATGACAGAAAGCGAATGGGGCATGACAGAAAGCGAATGGGGCATGACAGAAAGCGAATGGGGCATGACAGAAAGCGAATGGGGCATGACAGAAAGCGAACGGGGCATGACAGAAAGCGAATGGAGCATGACAGAAAGAGAATGGAGCATGACAGAAAGAGAATGGAGCATGACAGAAAGAGAATGGAGCATGGCGGTACAAGTGGGAGAAGCTCACATCTGGCAGAGGTTGGTGAGGGCGCTGATGGTGCTGGGGATGGCGCCGTCTATCTGGTTGTGAGCAAGATGCCTGCACCCATGGTTGCACATCGGCAAGACGAGGGTTTCATGCATGGTGTGCGCTCCACTCCACTCTACCAGGACATGGTGTGCACACCATGCCTGTGCTTGGTAAATAGTCCTCCCGATCAAGTGATGGATGAAAGTTGCAGCAGGGGGTGGACAGCTAGGAGGAGCTGCAGTCTAAAGTTAACGGCTAGCACTCACAGCAGCATAGATTCGTACACGGATGCGACTAGCTTTCGAAAGGTCTAGAAAGGCAGCATGAATGCATACATACATGAGGAAAAGAGAGGAGAGCTTGCCAATGGTGCTTGGAAGCGGGCCCGTGAGCTGATTTGATGGCAAGTACCTGCATACATGCACACACACACACAAGCACCCGGAGAATGAGTAACTTCAAACACCAAGACACATGCACCCGAACACATCGAGCTAGAAGCAAGCACCATCACGAGCTAGAAGCAAGCACCATCACGAGATAGAAGCAAGCACCATCACGAGCTAGAAGCAAGCACCATCACGAGCTAGAAGCAAGCACCATCACGAGCTAGAAGCAAGCACCATCACGAGCTAGAAGCACTTTGTGACTCATATGAGTGAGGCAGGCATACAATGATACAAGACTTTGCGTGCACACGCATGCATGCATGCATGCATGCATGCGCACATTCACGTGTGCTTGTGCATGCATGTGCACTGACACACAGACGGACACATGCGAGCAAGGACGCGTGCAGACACACACGCACATGCACAGAGCATCAGATGCTCAAGATACCATCACATCACGTGCTCACATCACATCACGTGCTCACATTGCCTGCAGGCTTGCAAGGCCGCTGATAGTGGAAGGCAAGGGCCCGGAAAATTGGTTGTGGCCGAGATCGCTGCACGCCAGTGGAGAAGGAGAGGGGGGAGGGGGTGGGGGAGAAAAAGAAGGTCAGCAGTGAACTAAAGAACTGTGGGTTCGGAAAGAAACGCGTGCCATGACACGGATCACTAAGAATCACTTCCACGGGCATGTCGAGAAGGGCATGTGAAGAAGGGCATGTGAAGAAGGGCATTTGAAGAAGGGCATGTGAAGAAGGGCATGTGCAGAAGGGCATGTGAAGAAGGGCATTTGAAGAAGGGCGTTTGAAGAAGGGCATTTGAAGAAGGGCATTTGAAGAAGGGCATTTGAAGAAGGGCATTTGAAGAAGGGCATGTGAAGAAGGGCATTTGAAGAAGGGCGTTTGAAGAAGGGCATTTGAAGAAGGGCATTTGAAGAAGGGCATGTGAAGAAGGGCATTTGAAGAAGGGCATTTGAAGAAGGGCATTTGAAGAAGGGCATTTGAAGAAGGGCATTTGAAGAAGGGCATTTGAAGAAGGGCATTTGAAGAAGGGCATTTGAAGAAGGGCATGTGAAGAAGGGCATTTGAAGAAGGGCATTTGAAGAAGGGCATGTGAAGAAGGGCATTTGAAGAAGGGCATTTGAAGAAGGGCATTTGAAGAAGGGCATTTGAAGAAGGGCATTTGAAGAAGGGCATTTGAAGAAGGGCATTTGAAGAAGGGCATTTGAAGAAGGGCATTTGAAGAAGGGCATTTGAAGAAGGGCATTTGAAGAAGGGCATTTGAAGAAGGGCATGTGAAGAAGGGCATTTGAAGAAGGGCATTTGAAGAAGGGCATTTGAAGAAGGGCATTTGAAGAAAGCCATGTGAAGAAGGGCATTTGAAGAAGGGCATTTGAAGAAGGGCATTTGAAGAAGGGCATGTGAAGAAGGGCATTTGAAGAAGGGCATTTGAAGAAGGGCATTTGAAGAAGGGCATGTGAAGAAGGGTATTTGAAGAAGGGCATGTGAAGAAGGGCATTTGAAGAAGGGCATTTGAAGAAGGGCATTTGAAGAAGGGCATTTGAAGAAGGGCATTTGAAGAAGGGCATTTGAAGAAGGGCATTTGAAGAAGGGCATTTGAAGAAGGGCATTTGAAGAAGGGCATTTGAAGAAGGGCATTTGAAGAAGGGTGGCAAGTTGAGACGGGCATGTGGAGAAGGGCAATTGGACAAGGGCAAGCGAAGGCAACGGCGCAAGGGGCACGGTCGCACAGGGCCCACGAGGCTGGATGGCGCACACGGTTCAGGCGCTTCAGACAGATGAGGAGATGGGAGGAGAGAGCAGGGACGAGGGAGGCGGGATGGGGGAGGAGGGAGGGGAGAGGAGGGGGGGGGTGGGGAGGGAGGGGAGAGGAGGGGGGGGGTGGGGAGGGAGGGAAGAGGAGGGAGGAGAGAGGAGGGAGGAGAGAGCAGGGAGGAGGGAGGAGGGAGGAGGGAGGAGAGAAGAGGGAAGAGGGAGGAGGGAGGAAGGAGGAGGGAGGAGGCAGGAGGGAGGAAAGAAAGAGTAGGGAGGAGAGTGCACGCACAGGACTGCAAGGTTAGGGAGCATGCCAAGGGATGTGGGCAGCGACGACATGAGTTGGTTGCTGCTCAAGTCCCTGCAAGACCACACACAGGAGAGGCAGGCACGGAGTGGAAGCGCCTTTTGAGACATCTCAAAAATCTACTTTCTACACATGGAGTGGAAGCGCCTTTCTACACATGGAGTGGAAGCGCCTCAACTGGAAACCCCGACTACCTTGACTTGAGGAGAAACACGGCATAGCTACCAGGATTCTGACTCGAGACCTTTGACTGGACTTGCGAGTATTCTCGGGGAGGAAGGAACAGGGCACAGGGCATGGCAGCTGCAGGCGACTGTTTACACGCCTCTCTTATTAGGCAGCTTGAAATGCGGCGCAGCGGACGGAGGGAGGGGGGAAGGGCTCACAGGTGATAGAGCGGGAGGCCTTGGAAGACATCTGGGAGGGATCCTGTGAGCAGGTTGTTGCGCAGGTAGCTGTTGTGCCGTGGTGAGAGGTGGAGGGGTCGGGAATGGGAGAGAGCAGATGAGGATGGGGATAGAAACAGGATGCTTGGTGCGTGAGGGAGTTGGCGCCGTGATTTGATTTGCATCTGAAACAGGACGAGGCATGCATGTGGCATGCTCTGGAAAAAAGGCCTGGGATTGCAGGCATGCAGCACACAGACATGCAGTACACAGGCATGCAGCATGGTCATGAAGACTTGCACCCATATGGGCCATGAACGAGCAGGTGCTTACAACCCTAAACCCTAAACGCACGCAAGGCAGGCACTGACAGGTACTGCAACGCCAAGAGGTTGCCGAGGGATGTCGGCAGCTCCCCGGTCAGCTTGTTGTTGTTCAAATCACTGCCACAGCACAGAACAGAACCAGGCCCGGGAGACAACGCGCAGAGTGGGAGGGCGAGTTGTGCCTAGAGAGCTAACAACGTGCACTCAAATCGGCGATGCGAATAGGAGAGGTTGTGTTTCATAGTGGTTGGATAGGCATTGAGCAACAACCAAGCACGGCAAGCACAGCAATGATGCGACTGTGGAGTACGGAACACCGTTTGCGGAGGGACAGGAGAGGAGATACATGCAGGCAGGTATTGAGAGAAGCGCGCTGAGAGAAGCGTGTTGAGAGAAGCATGTTGAGCAGGGCACATGGGAGGTGAGAATACAGAAGAGCGTACATAATGGCGAGGTAGGGCAGGCTGCCGATGGTTGAAGGGAGAGTGCCGTCCAGAGAATTATCTGGTATTACCCTGCACTCCACTCACGGTACAAGACACAAGGCACATGACATGACATGCTGATTTTGAGAATTCTGAGGAGTGGCTCTCGACTATTGGATATCATACCACCTGCAGTCCCCCAAGGGTACATGGCAAATGGCACAAACAAGGCACACACAAGGCGTGTTGGGAAGTTGCCGCAGCAGGACAGGCAACGGTGCGTGCAGCAAGCTAGTCTCTCTGTCGTGGGCTTACGAGGGGCACGGAGGGACGGACAGGTGGGAGGGTCACACGGGTGGACGGTGATGAACGCACAAGGAGTCTGCTCACCTCCCTTTCTGCCTCTCTACCTGCCTGCATGCCTGCCTGCCTGCCTGCCTACCTGTCTGCCGACCTGTCTTCCTACCTGCCCACCTGCCTGTGTGCCTACCTGTGTGTGTGCCTACCTGTGTGTGTGCGTGCCTGCCTGTGCATGAGAGTGCGGGGGTGGCTCACAGGTACTGCAGTGCCTCCATCTTGCTGATGGTGCTCGGGAGCGGTCCCGTGAACTTGTTCGTCCCCAGGTTCCTGCACAGCACAGCACCCCACACCACAGCACCCCACACCACAGCACCGCACAGCACAGCACAGCACCGCACAGCACAGCATGTCACACCGCACCGCATGTGGCGGCATGGTCGATTCAAGTCAGCGTCTCAAAGCCTTCTCTAAACCCGTCTGCTGATTGCTGTTTCGGCTCCTCCTGCAGCAAATTCTCCTGGCCATTGAGAGGGTGAGGCGGTTCACAGGGGAATGGCAGGGACGGCAGCAGGGGTGGCACGGGGGGCAGGGCAGCACTGTGCGGATGGGCATGAGTGACAAGGGAAGTGGTGTGCGTACAGGCTTCTCATTTGTGAGAGGTCGGAGATGGTTTCGGGAAGAGCGCCGTCAAACGAGTTGTGGTGCAGCCACCTGCACCGTTCACAGGGCAGGGGGGCACACGGGCAGGCGGGCGGGCGTGAGGGAGGAGGGGAGGGATTTAGTGCTTGGCGACTGAAAAGCATATCATGCATGCATACTTCTGAGGCGCCTTACAGGCTTTCATTGGCCATCGTTTCCTACTCGCAAAAACAACTGCAACTGTCACAGCCCATTCCATTCCATCCCATCCAACCAACTACACCGCATGCCATGCCACACCATGTAAAAGAATACCGCCATGCCACGCCATGCCATGCCATCCGCATGAGCAGATGGCAAGCGCCATGGACTTACAGGGTTTCGAGGATAGGGAGCCGGCACAGGCTTGACGGGAAGGGGCCAGATAAAGCGTTGCGCTCTAAGTACCTGCCATGCCATGCCATGCCGTGCGATGCCATGCCGTGCCATGCAATGCCATGCCGTGCCATGCGATGCCATGCCGTGCGATGCCATGCCGTGCCATGCAATGCCATGCCGTGCCATGCGATGCCATGCCGTGCCGTGCCGCCATGCCGTGCCATGCCATACCATGCCGTGCCATGCCATACCATGCCGTGCCATGCCATACCACGCCATGCCGTGCAATGCCATGCCCAGTGCGTGCCATGCAGAGCAGAGAACACATTGCCAGATGAATCAGAAATCGATGGTGAGTGCAAGACCCCTCGCACATACACCAACGGAGCAGCTCCTTTCAGTCTATTCCGCCGCACCATCCCTCACAGCAGATAGGTGCGAGCCCACTGCAACAAGAGCAGAAGAGGTGCGAGTAGTCGACGTGCGACTAAGAGGGGGTGGTGGTGCTGTGATGGGTGCTCAGGAGAGTGCGGGCACTGCAGATTGGCAAGGCAAGTGCAGTACGATCATGCGAGAGTTGCAGTTGCAGTTGCAGTTGCAGTTCCAGTGCAGCACTCACAGGTAGGCGAGTCTGGTAAGGGTGCTGAGAGCATCGGGAACGGACCCAGAAAGTCCGTTGTTGCTCAAGTCCCTGTATCCATGACATCACATACGCACACATGTCACATCCCATATGCCGCGCGTGCATTCCATTCCATGCATCCCCATGCCATACCACACAACGTATCCCATGCACGCACGGTGTCAAGGCAGGGTGTCTGCGACTTCTCATGCTGGAAAGCAGAGGAGGCGGGGAGAGGAGAGAAGAAAAGGCGGGCGGGAGGGAGCAGGTGGGGGGGACTCACAGGTAACGAAGGCGAGTGAGGGCAGAGAGCGCAGTGGGTATGGTGCCAGTTACACCGACAGTCAGGGACCTGTGCTCCCAAGGGGGGAAGGTTTGGTTGGGGGTGTGCGGAGGGCAAAGGAGGTGAAGAGAAAGTGAATCCAAATCAGCATAGGCGTTTAAGATTCAGGTCTAAAAACAAGACTTAAACCTTGATAATTTCTTATAGCATGTAGCTGTCCCTGTCACATGTCACGTGCAGTGCAGGTCACTTTCTGAGACGCCTCGAATAACGCACGCAAAAACCGAGTCAAAGTAGCTAGCAGTACTAGTGAGAAGCAAGTGGGAGGCAAGTGAGAAGCACGTGAGCAGGAGAAGCAGAGCACATACATGCTAACGACAAAGCCGTCCTCATCGCACGAGACGTATGGCGCGCGGTTGCAGTCTCCCCCCACCTTCCAATCCTCATACGTCAACCCCCACTCCGTCTTCGCTTCCTCCAATGCCTTTCCTGCCGTCACTCACATGCACGGCACACACACACACACACACACACACACACACACACACACACGCATGTACACACTCTATTAAGGTCTGAAGTTCATCATACACATCTCTTTCTGAAGATATTAAGATTGGAGCTGCATCTCAACATGACGAGGAGTAGCATGACGCACAGCCTTGCGACGACAGAAACGCCAGGCAGCGGCAGCAGTAGCAGCACATCACATCACCTTGAGACTCCTCGAAAATATACATGGCGCCTGCTGGGCGAACGAGTCCGTAGTGCAACCCGAGCAGGGCGAGAACAGAGAGAAAAACGAGAGCCCTCCTCCACTGCGCCATCGTGTCCTTGGCGCCGAGTCAGCACGTTTGAATAAGCCTGAGCCAGAGCCTAAGCCTGAGCCTTAGCCTGATCCTTAGCCCGAGCCCCACGGCTGAATAAAATCCTCTTGCCACGTCCGATAGCTGTTTGTCAAGGCACGGGTATCCTAGTGGTGTGGAAGTAAAGACTGTATGGGACGACGAGCATGGCAGGTAATACACGAGTCGACTCCACTCCACTCCTCTCTCGAGACTATATTACTGGTCGTGGCGCGGTCGCTATAAAAACTTGTAAAGAAAAGAACGAGCGCGCGGCGATGGTGCTGTTGTCGACAACCGTCTTGTCTTGCCAATCACTGATTCACAAAACCAGGCTTCTCGGGCAATCCCTTATCTACAATCGTACCATGACCATGGGAACTCTGTCCGATAAGCTGCCTGCCTTCGCCGTTGCCGCGCCCGTCCCGGCGCGGCTCGGGGGGAAAGGTGAAGAAAATCCTTTCCGCAGCTGCTTGCGAGCAGCCAGGCGCCTTGCCTTTCTTGGCCATCGCCAGCGGGGCACAACGTTTGACGGCGGCAAAGGAAAGGTTCCGGCGACGACGGTCAACGTGGGTCCACTCGCCGGGTCACGCGCGTGCCTTTCTTTCTTTGCTTGCCGCTGCAGCGCCCGGCGCAGTGCCAGTGCCAGCGCGACCGGCTTTCGAGGCGCCTCAAAAGAAGCGCCCGGCGCAGTTACAGCGCGACCGGCGCCCACGGCATCACGCGCCGTGACATCAGCGGTGCGTGTATGTCACTCTCTTCTCACAAGGCTCGTGAGCATCACGTGGTGATGGTACCACTGTGGTCCGTTAACTCAACCCATCCGTCGAGTCGTGGTCTGGTGCCGTGAAAAAAAAGGAACCCAATAAACGAAATTCGTTTGAGACGCCACTGTGAAAGAAAGGAACTGACGAGAGTCAATCATGGTCTCTAGCTCGTCTGGTGCTACTGACGCTCGGAACGGGACGGGACGGGTGCAAGATCATCGCTCGTGCGGAGTCAGGCGGAGCATGGATGAGTCGCGTCGTATCGTACGCAACGCGTCGGCAAAAAATCATGACGCGGCGAACGGAGCGCGGCGGTTATAAAGTGAGCCGCGGGCTCCGCTTGAAGCGGGCGACATGAGTACAGTTCTACTCCCCCAATGGGAGCCCAACAATTGGCAAGCCAACAATGGGAAGGGAGGTCCCACATCGCGCTATCTTTGCACCTCCCCTTGGATGGGCGAAGCGGTTGCTCGGAAAGGACGAACGATGAAGAGTGCTGCTGATCACGCGCTGATGCACAGTTTCTTTCTTTTCCCTGTCCTGCACACCGCGGCAAAATATCCTTCACATGCCCTTCCGGGAATGGGAAAGGCAGTCGCTTTGAGAGAGGCTCGACTCGACTCGAAGGAGCTCGCGGCGATGAACAGTGCATGGTACATCTGAGTGGGGGGAACCCAGCTCCACAGCTCTGCTGGACAGAGGGAAGGAAGACAGCTGTGCTGAAATGAGGGAAAGAAGCAACACGGCTGAGCTGGTTGAATTCTTGAAGGCAAGATCGATCCTTGAAGATCGATGGGGGGAGCCGTGTGGGGAAACTGGAGGGAGAACTGGTGGATGAGAGCGAATAAAACAGAACTCGAGGAATGGAGTGACGATGTGAATAAAGTTGTTCGCCTTGTAGACGGCTCGGTTACGAGACGAGCAAAGATGCACTTGATTACATTACAGTAAGCGATATCTGATGTGCTATAAGAGTGTTCCTGTTACGGGTGCAATGAATCGAAGTAGCGAGAATTGCACTAAGGTGTCAAACGAGTACAAAGATGTGAGCGAAGGCATGAGCGAACATTTATATGCGAAGCATGCAAACGGTAACGCGGTGCGTGCGAGCTAGCCAGTGCTATGCTGGCAGCGAGGCTCGGGCTAGTCCCGAAGCGTAGGCCGACACGGCCGGGCCAGCAGTGCGAGGTTTGGTGAAACAGTGCGCGCGAAGTCGGCGAAGTTCCGTTAGCAGTAACGGGCGAACAACGGCTGTTGCTGTACGCGATGTAGTCGGGCTCCGTAAGGAATGCCGAGAAAATTCCTTACACTACCCCCCCCCCCTCAAGAAGCCCCCTCCGCTACGCGAGTGCGTGTATGTCGCGGAATCCCCGGCTCCTCAGGTACACTTGCAGGGCAGGGTGGTTTTCAATGTTGGCCAGGGGCACCCAGCTATCCTCAGTTGGCGTGCGGTCCTTCCAGCGAACGAGGAATTCAATCCTCCTGATTCCCGTGGGGTGTCGAATCCGATGGCTCAGGATTTTTTCGGGCTCGATGATCGGCTCTGATGCAGGGCGAGTCATGGATGGCGGGCGGTGGCGAGGCAATTGGCTTGTGGTTGGGATGTATGGGCGAAGCAAGCTGACGTGGAACGAAGGGCTGATGTACCAGTCGGTCGGTAACAGTAGGTGCGCGGTTACTGGCGTGATCATGTGGCTGATTTGGAATGGGCCACAGTAGCGCGGTCGCAGTTTTGGTACGTCGGGTAGTCGCAGGTTTTGCGTGTCGAGCAGTACGTAATCCCCTGACTGGTAGGTGACGGGTCGGCGGTGGCGGTCGGCGTTGCGCTTAGCGATGACATTTGCTTTTTTAATTGCTTCTGCAGCTCTGGTGCGGGCAGCTTGCAGAATTTGGGCGAATTGTTGTGCACGTGGTGTCGGATTGTCCGGACTCGACGTCATGGGCACTGTAGGATTTTGCCCGTAGTTCAGGTAGAAGGGGGACTGCTGCGTCGTCGCTGACGTGGCGTTGTTGTACGCGAACTCGATCAGCGGCAGCTGCTGTTCCCAAGTCGTGGGGTCGTCGCACGTGGCACGAATCAACTGCTCCATCGTCTGATTCGTCCGCTCCGTTTGGCCGTCGGTCTCGGGGTGGTACGACGAACTGAACTGTAGCCTGGTCCCGAACTGCTCCCAGAGGTTTTTCCAGAAGTTGCTGGTAAACTTCGTGTCCCTGTCGCTGATAATCGCTGCTGGTATCCCGTGCAGGCGAACAACGGCTGCGATGAACAGACGAGCGGTCTCCTCGGCTGAGATCGACTTTTTGCACGCAGCGAAGTGTGCCATCTTCGTCAGCCTGTCAACGACGACCATCACCGCGTCGTTACCCCCAGGGTTCGAAGGTAACCCTGTGACGAAGTCCATGGTAACCTGCTGCCATGCGCGCTCGGGCGGTGGTATCGGCTGCAATTGACCCGCCTTCCGCTTCCTCGAGCTCTTCATCACCTGACACGTGGGGCACGAGCCCACGTGCTGCTGTACGTCGGTCAACAGCTCCGGCCAGTAATAATACCGCTGCAGTTGCTGTCGCGTTTTTTCTACCCCAAAGTGTCCCGAGGTAATTCCGTCGTGTGCCTCCTGCAGTAGCAGCTCCCTCAGTAGTGAGTACGCAGGTACCCAGATGCGGTTGGTGCCTGTTTTTACGTAATAAACTCCTTTAGCTTCTGCCAGTTGCTGTGAGTTTCCAGTCGTGAAAAATGGGTCGGTGCGGTATCCGTGGGTGAATAGGCCTGTTAACAGCGGGTTGGTCTGGGCGAGTAGGATGGCGTGGAGTTGGGCGGTAGGGCGGGTGAGTGCGTCGGCGATGTTGGATGCGCCTTTCTTGTACGTAACCGTGTAGTGGAAGTTGGACTCGAGGTAGTCTAGCCAGCGAATTTGTCGCGGATTGAGATTTGGTTGGGCGCGTAAGTACTGTAGTGATCGGTGGTCTGTCCGTACTGTCACGTCGGCGCCAGTCAGGTAACACCGCCAAACCTTGAACGCGTGCACGATCGCCAACATTTCGCGGTCGTGTATCGGGTAGTTGCGTTCGGGCGGGTGCAGTTTGCGGGACTCGTACGCGATTCGCTGGAGGCCGTTCCCGAAATCCTGCAAAAGTACTGCTCCCACAGCGATGTCACTTGCGTCAGTGACGAGCTCGAACGGACGGTGTGGATCGGCGATGTGAAGCACGGGCGGTGAGCACAAAATGTTTTTGAGGGCCGAGAAGGCAGCTTGCTCTTTCTCCCCCCACGTGTACTCAACCCCCTTCCTCAGCAGGTCAGTCAACGGGGCAGTCAGCTTCGCCATGTCGGGGACGAACCGGCGCACGTAGTTGACGAACCCCAGAAAACTCTGCAACTCTGTCAAGTTGGTCGGCGCGTGCCACGCCTGAATCGTCGCAATTTTCTTCGGGTCTATTTCCACTCCTGCAGCTGAAATAACGTGTCCCAAAAACTCCAGACGGTCCTGTAAAAATTCACACTTAGACGCTTTTGTCAGTAGGCGGTTCTCACTCAGTATTTTAAAAACTGCTTCGATGTCCTGTAAGTGCTGTGCTCTGTCAGGGCTGTAAATCAGTATGTCGTCCAGGTATACTATGACGCACTTATCTAAGAGTGGGCGGAAAGCTTCGTTCATGGTCATTTGGAAAGTGGCGGGGGCGTTGGTCAGTCCGAAGGGCATGACGATGTATTCGAAGGATCCGTAGCGTGTTCGGAATGCGGTTTTAGGGCAGTCGGGCGGATTGACACGAATCTGATGGTAACCCCCCCGGAGGTCGATTTTCGAGAAAACCCGGGCTGTGCGCAGTTGGTCGATCAGTTCGTCGGCTCGTGGGATGGGGTAACGGGATTTGATGGTAACCCTGTTCAGTGCTCTGTAATCGATGCACATGCGAAATCCCCCGTCTTTTTTCGGTGTAAACAGTATCGGTGCTGCGAAGGGCGACGAACTAGGGCGAATGAACTCCTTCTCGAGCAGGTAATCGAGCTGCTTCCTCAGTTCGTCCAGTTCGGGCTGGGTCAGTCGGAACTGTCGCTGTACTGTTGGCTGTGCCCCCGGTTCCAATTCTATTATGTGATGGTGCGGTCGCTGAGGTGGCAGTCCCGTCGGTAAGTCGTCCGGGAAAATGTCGCTGTACTGCTTCAACAGTGCTGCCAGGTCACTCGGTACGTCGGTCAGCAGTTTCTGCAAATCCCCTCCCTTGTCTGCTGCCTCGGCTTCCCGAATGTCGACCGCGTACACGTCAGCTCCCGCCGCTACGGCGCGTTTCATCGTGATCGCGTTGACACGCACCGACGAAGACTCAGGCGAGCCCCAGCGAGGTAGGGCGATGTGGTTACCGTTCACTCGCACGGTGCAGTCACCCGTCGTCCAGTCGATTCGCGGATTGTGTCGTCGCAACCAATCACGCCCGAGTAAAATATCGGTTCCGTCGAGGGTCGTTGCGAGCATTTCTTGGCTAAATGTGAAGTTACCCCCGCATCGAATCCGAACCCGGTCTACGCGTTCCCGTATTGCCAGCGGCGTGCCGTCTACCAGTCGTGCGTCGATCTCAGGTAAACATCTGTCCAGTAGCAGTCGCAGTTTTCGTGCTGTAGCAGTGTTGATGAGGCTGTGGCTGGCTCCCCTGTCTACGAAGATTTTAACTAAGTCCGTCCCGATTTTCCCACTAAGCAGTATAGGGCTGTCTACCGTAGTACCCTCCTTATTCGGCCGGGTGTGGTCGATTGCGTGAACCGGCACAATCACTCGGTGAGGGTCGGTTGGGTCGGGCGAGCGGCGTGACCTGTCAGTAGAGGGCCCGTCTGCTACTGACTCCCAGCGTTTCCCTGCTGCTTGGTCTGTTTCTGCTGCTCAGCTTCCCCCTTTCCCTTAGCGTTTTCCGGGCATTCGCTCTTGCGGTGTCCCGGCCGATTACACGCGAAGCAGCGCCCTTTGAACGGTGCGGCAGCGGCATTCGCGGCGACGGCACGTATCGTGGCGCCCTCGTTCGTCCCACGAGACCGATGTCCCCAGTTGCTGCTACTGCCGTAGGACCCCGGTCTCGGTCGGCGGAAGAAGTCGAGCTTCTCCGCCATAGCGAGAATCTCCTGAAAATCGGTGACGCCGCGAAGCTGAATTTCTTGAGCGATGTCGTGCTTCAGGCCGCCGATGTAGCGGTCGATGCGCTCGCTCTCATGCATGTAGCCCACTTGCTCGCATAGCGCCAGAAACCCGCTGGTGTAGTCCTGGACTGAACCGAGTTGGCGCCAAGTGCGGAGCTTCTGTCGCGCCGCGATCGAAGCCGCAATTGGCTCAAATCGAGCGCGCAGACCTGCGCACCACGCGTCCCACGTGCGATATTGGGGCACCTCCACGAAGTACGACGGCGCCCAGGGTCCGGTTTGTCCTGTTAAAATAGTAGGAAGAAGAGGAGTTGCACTAGCAAGAATGAGGATACAAATAGCAAACCCTAGAAGGGTTGTACTCGCTGTAGAGCACCCCACTACAGGCTAGAGCATAATATTCTGACACACCCCCATAGCCAAAGTGGGGTGTAATCAGCAGAGCAAGTAAAGCAGTACAAGCTCAGGGTGGATCACAATGTCACCACACATTCTGAGCACAAGTTCAAGAAGCAATAGTTTAAAGTTCACAATTATGAGCAAAGCTAGTGGTAGTCACAGAGGGCAAGTGAGGAGGAGGAGAGACTGTGGGGGAGAGAAGATGGGAGGCGACTGCTGACGCTGCAGACACACAGACGAGCTGCTGGCTCAGTGGCTACCGAAGCAAAGGCCCGGACTACAGGAGTAACTGGCTCCGCGGCTAAAAGTAGCGGCAGACGAGCAACTGACCCACAGGCGACTGGCGACTACCGGAGATTGTAGCCTCCGGACTGCTGGTGCTGCTGACGACAAGACTGCTGCCTCCACTTAACCTCCCCCAGCTGCCCAACACCCCTCTCACACACCCGCTGCTACACCGCTAGCTCCACTCCCCCTTCACCCCCCCTTAGTACCACTCCAACGGCTCCAACAAGTCCACCCCCCCCCAGCGGCAGCTGCAGCACAGGGAGACGGAGGAGGAGGAGGAGCAGGGAACGGCACACAGTGGCTTCACCCCCATACCCCTCACCCCCAAACCCTAATTCAGGAGAACGGGCTGTAGGAGGGGTGGGGCGCCAGTAGAAGCACGGGGGACAGCGGGGAGGGCAGGGGCAGCGAGGAAAGGGCCGCCCACGGGCCTGGCACAGCCGCCCGAACCGCGCGCAGGCGGCCCGAGCCGCGCGCGGGCCTGGCGCAGCCCGTACGGGCCGCGCGCGGGCCTGGCGCAGCCCGTACGGGCCGCGCGCTGGCCTGGCGCAGCTCGTACGGGCCGCGTCCGGGCCTGGCGCAGCCCTTACGGGCCGCGCGCAGCCTGTACGGGCCGCGCGCAGGCCACGACGGGCGACGGGGGGCGACGCGCGGGTCCCCGTCGCCCGTCGCAGCGCCTCCCGAGGGCGACGCGCCGAGTGACGGGGCAGAAGCCCGCCGCGCGCCTCGGGGCGCACAGCGGGCAGAGAACCGCCGCGCGCCACGGGGCGCACGGCGGGCAGAAAACCGCCGCGCGCCTCGGGGCGCACGGCGGGAAGAAAAACTGCCGCACGCCACGGGGCGTGCGGCACAGAGGGTAGCAGTGGAAGTTGCAGCGGAAGCAACGAGGTGGTAAGACCACCCACAGGATCGATCCAAGGGGGTCGACCTGCTCTGATACCATGTTAAAATAGTAGGAAGAAGAGGAGTTGCACTAGCAAGAATGAGGATACAAATAGCAAACCCTAGAAGGGTTGTACTCGCTATAGAGCACCCCACTACAGGCTAGAGCATAATATTCTGACATGTCCTTCCCGTGTCGGTAGAGTCGCGTAGTCATTCGGCTTCGTGACGATGACGCGCCACCAGTCCATGGCGGGTCCTCGCAGCAGCGACACGGCGTAGCGAATTTTCGCCGAATCCTCCGAGACATAGTTGGCGTCGAAAAACACGTTCATCGTGAACAACCACGCCTGAACGGTAGGACCACCCCGTTGACTCGGGTCAAAGCATGGCGGACGCTGCGGCTTCAGCGGCATCGGTGACGGCAGTCCCGAATCGTGGGTCGGTGCCGAAATCGTGACGCGGGGTTGACTTGGGGCCGCATTCGTCGCTCCGGGGTGTGTTGTGCCGTGGTCGTCGTCTCTGTCGGGGCGGACGACGCCATCACTGGCCGCGCTCGCGGGTTGTCCCACACTTCCGTGCTGTGATGTCTGTGGTGCGGGCTGAATCGAATGCCAGGTGCTTGGGATTGTGCCCTTGTGAGGTCGTTTTGCAGGGACGAGCGTTCTGCCGTCAGCGTCGCAATTTCCTCGGCGCTCTCGCGGATTTGTCGCAGCAGATCGTTCAAATGCTCCTGCGTGAGAGTCGTGACGTCGATGTGTTCGGCCATTTCGAAGAACGTCGGCTCGTCTTAGTCTAGGCGCAGTCGTGGCTGCACGCGTTTACGAGAGAACGCGAGGACAGCGGCTCCTAGGTGCTAAGGTACGTAAGTCCCTTCGAGTGAAAAATCAAAAGTTGATTTCCTGGGGTGCGGAGATGCACGGTCCGAAAGAAAGGGGCTCTGATACCAAGTGTTACGGGTGCAATGAATCGAAGTAGCGAGAATTGCACTAAGGTGTCAAACGAGTACAAAGATGTGAGCGAAGGCATGAGCGAACATTTATATGCGAAGCATGCAAACGGTAACGCGGTGCGTGCGAGCTAGCCAGTGCTATGCTGGCAGCGAGGCTCGGGCTAGTCCTGAAGCGTAGGCCGACACGGCCGGGCCAGCAGTGCGAGGTTTGGTGAAACAGTGCGCGCGAAGTCGGCGAAGTTCCGTTAGCAGTAACGGGCGAACAACGGCTGTTGCTGTACGCGATGTAGTCGGGCTCCGTAAGGAATGCCGAGAAAATTCCTTACAGTTCCATTAATAACAATTAAGGACAGCATTAAGGAACAGTGCGTTTGTAAGCATAACAAGTGCGTGCGGTCGTCTGTCCCCATTATTGTCTGCATACAGCAGAGGAAAACAATCCCAACATAAGAACTGAGTGGCATAGGAGAAACTGGATACTGTAGGATATTCTGCTCCCTTGGTCAGATTATGTGTGGAGCAAAATGCACCGCCGGTTTGAGTAAGATTGTTTCACCTTGTAGACGACCCGGTTACAAGAATAGAAAAGCTGCACTCAATTACCGTCATCGCCCGGATATAAGACATATATGTCTTATCTCATACACTAAAAAAAATGCTTGGGTTATCTTGTATTTGGGGAGGTTTTGGGTGTCTTATAAGTCTTATAAATGGAAAGTTTTTTAAACTACTTAGAAATATTTTCACGCATCTTGAAAAGAGTTTCTCATTAAGAGTGTGGAAGTTGCGAAGGTGCCACTTCGGCAACCATTGTTCGGGACGCCACGTCATCCCGAATACTTGCAGAGGCAAATTTGGTAGTACGTGAGTCAGCACGTGGCAGAATTCGCGTGTCGCAAGGGTAAAAATGTACGCGGTATTTCAATTCTCACTATAATGCATTGCAGTTTCGATTATAAGACACATATGTCTTATCTCGTACGCACAAATAGGTGTCGTATAAAAAGGCTAGCCTGTTTATAAGAGACACCCGTATAGTAGACAGCCCCTGTCTACTATTCAACACTGTCTTATATCCGGGCGATGACGGTACATACAGAGCAGCTTGCGGTTAATACGGTACAATTGAAACCTAACAGTGCCCCACTTTCACAACAGAAAAAAACATAAAGTCATCAACAGTGCGCTTGTAAGCAGAACAAGTGCTGGAGGTCGGCTGCACCCACTATTGTCTGCATGCAACAGAGGAAAACAATCACACCAGAAAAAAAGTTCATAGACATATTGTGGATCTACCATATCGGATGAAACTGGGACGTAAGGGAAGAGCATATGCAATCATGGAAATGTGGCATATATACTTGTGAAATAGTGCACTCACATTGCGGGCAAATTGTGCAGAATTGCATGCATCGATCGCAGAACTCTGATCCACGATACTGCTTCACATCACACTTGTCAACATTGGGACACCCCACCGCCTTGTCCAAGCTCCTGATACACATTATTTCAAACGGAATACAGGGAAGGTGACATGAGAAAAAAGGTACGGCGGGAAGAACAGGCAAAGTCTCCAACTGCTGCCCTTGTTTGCAAGCAGCTGTAACAAATTTCTTTGCAGCCACACTATGGAGACTATGGCTGCATACTATCATAACTGTGAACTCGATACCAACTTATAAAAAGTAAGTGTAGGTGGGTATAATTACATGGAGTAGAGGGTGATCAGGTTGCCCAATGTGGGTGGCAAGGGGCCTTGTATGCTGTTGTTGCGCAGCTCCCTACGTACATGGAGAGGAGGGACAGATAATACAACACAACATAACAGCATGGAGGAGCAAACATCAGTGCAAAGAAAAAGGAAAAAGGAAAAAGGAAAAAGAGGGGACTTCCGATGAAGGCGAGCAAGTGACGGAGGCTGACCGTGAGCATAGAAAGGGTAGGATTGATTAGGGAAGAGAAGCAGATAAGGGGAGGAGGCGAGGGGCGTGCTCACAGCTCCTCCAGGCTCCCGAGGCCACCAATGGAGCTGGGGAGTGACCCGCCGAGACCGTTGCTGCGCAGAGCACTGCGTGGTGACGCAGGGCGGAGGGAGAGAGTGGAAAGGAGGGCACGGCAGGTGGGTCGTGACAGGCAGACAGGTGGGACTCCTTGAGGGAAGCGTCTTTCTCCACCCTTTCTCATTTCCTCGAAACAACAATCCCTTTTTGGTGGAGACACCCTCCCCTCTCCTCCCTCCCCCTCTCCGCCTTTGCTCCCTCCCTCCCCCCAACCCCTTCCCCCCCTCTCATGCACAGGCAGCGACTCACAGCACTTGCAGGTTGGAGAGGTTGCCTATGGATGCCGGCAGTGAACCGGACAGCTCATTGCCGCCCAGATAGCTGCACAGTGGGGGAGGAGTGGGAACCGAAAGGTGGAACACTGAGTCCGAAGCGAGGGTCATGGGTTGCAGGGGAAAGGGTGGAGGTGGAGTGGGGGAGAGTGGCAGCAATGGTGTTGAAGTATAGATCGAATGGCTGCAAGGGTGAATAGTTGCAATGTGGAACTCATGGTGTGCATGGTGGCCGCAGCTGCGGCAGGGCTTACAGCGTCTTGAGCTGTGCCAAGTTGCCTATGGAATCTGGAATGGACCCGTTGAACATGTTGTTGTGTAGGTCTCTGCCGTGGCATGGCATGGCATGGCATGGCATGGGAAGAAAGGGAGAAGAAGGGTGTGCGAAACAAACCCAGGGGAGTATATGGATGAAAAGTGCTTGGTAGCGCACGATAGGACACTACAGGCATGTGCCAACCAGACATGGCCTGGCACACGCAAGCAGCGGGAAAACGAGCCGCGCACGCAGTTAAAGGTAGGAGGAGAGAAGGCGAGTTGAGCGGCAGAGGTGGGTTGCGACGAGTGAGACGTCACGAGGCGGAGAGTAGAGTAGACTATATTAGAGTAGAGTAGAGTAGAGTCACTTTGTGAAGATCAAATTGAAGGGGAGGGGAAGGTGGCATGGGCGCACAGGTAGACGAGGGAGAGCAGGCGGCCGATGGAGGATGGAATGGCGCCCGAGAGAAGGTTGTTGCTCATGCCCCTGCCGTGAGACACACGCATGGGATGGCTTGAGACCATGTGTGTGTGGGTGCCATGGCATGGTATGGTATGATGTGGTGTGGTGTGGTATGGTGTGGTATGGTATGGTATGGTATGGTATGGTATGGTATGGTATGGTATGGTATGGTATGGTATGGTATGGTATGGTATGGTATGGTATGGTATGGGATGGTATGATATGGCATGGTATGGTATGGTATGGTATGGTATGGTATGGTATGGTATGGTATGGTATGGTATGGTATGGTATGGTATGGTATGGTATGGTATGGTATGGTATGGTATGGTATGGTATGGTATGGTATGGTCACGGCATGGCATGGCATGGCACGGCACGGCACGGCATGGGATGGCATGGCACGGAACTGCGTGGAGGGACGACTGACAAGGCAGTGAGTGCAGTGAGGTTGCCAACGGCAGCAGGCAGAGGCCCCTGAAAGCGGTTCTTCTGCCTCTCCGCATAGAACCGCTTCCTCACTGACCCCACGTCGCTGGTGGTCACGTGCATGCACAGCGAGAGGACGGGAATAGGAGGGGAGAGGAAGGGAGATGGGGGGAAAACGGGGGGGAAAAGGGGGAAAGGGGAGAAAGAGAAGGGGGAGAGTTCGGGAGAGAGGGGGTAAGGGGATTAAAAGGGGAAGAGGTTGGAAGAAAGGATGTGAGGGGAGAGTGAAAGGTTGCAGGAGGAGGGGGCGGGAAGCGCGTAATAATCGCCGAGCAGGCTTGCTAGAGCACCGTTAGAACTGTGTGCAAGACAAAGAGCACTGGTAGCTAAGTCATGAAGCAGCTATCTCTCAAGGAGGTTGCAGGCAAGGAGGTTGCAGGCAAGGAGGTTGCAGGCAAGGAGGTGGCGGGCGAGAAAGAAAGAGAGGTGAGGTGCGTTGCACGCACAGATGCACGAGCTGTGTGAGGTTGAAGAGCGTGGCCGGCAGAGAGCCGTTCAGCCCATTCGAGGCGAGCTTGCTGGGGGCGGGGGGAGAGAGGGAGAGGAGGGGAGGGGAGGGGAGGGGAGGGGAAGGAGGGGGAGGGAGAGAAAGGAGGGGAACGCAGAAGGGTTTGGCGTTTGGGAGAAGGAAAGGGACTGTATATGGAATAGTAGTGAAGTTTAAGAGCCTTGACAGAGCACATGCGCATGACTTAGAGTTTTGCACATGTGAGCACATGTCATGTGAAGTTGTGGATGAGTGGGTGTGTTTGTGGCGGCGAATGACTGTGTGGCAGGGTGGACGGACAGACAGTAAGCGCGGGCGGACTGGTAACTAGCACAGCACAGCACCGCATAGCACCACATCACACAGCACAGAACCGAGCCACATAGCACAGCACTACAGGACTCACAGGAAAGAGACATTGAAGAGCAGTCCAATAGAGGATGGAATGGGGCCATAGAGGTAATTATCACTGAGGTCACTGCAGGACAGGAGGACGGAGAGGAGAGACAGGAAGAGGAGAAACAGAGAGAAGAATGAAATTTGATTTGACAAATGAGGTGAGGAGGAGTTGTGGCGATGACAACTGCTTACATTTGGAAATTCAATGGTTGCCCACGAGAAAAGCAAGAGAGAAGCAAGTGAATCAACTTTGCAGCATGATAGCCAGCCATACCTTCCCGCCCTCCCTCATCACCCCCTCCCCCCTCCTCCCCCTCCTCTCCTCCTCCTCTCCCCCACTCCTATCATTGCACTCACACTACTTTAAGGCTACGCATGCGGCCAATAGCGGCAGGGATGGTGCCATTGAGCTGGTTGCTGCTCAAGTCCCTGCGGTGGGATGGATGGGAGCACACCCAGAAGGTGGTGCGAAGCGCAAGGGGATATACGTGGCTCGGGTGTGGGACGGTGGGCTGGACCAGATTGAATACTACGCATGACTGCGGCAACGGCAAGCAAGGGGGGAGTGCTGGTGGGGAGAGCAGGAGCAGGAGCAGGAGCAGGAGCAGGAGCAGGAGGTGAGTGGTGACTGACAGGTACGAGAGACTGGCGAGACTGCCGAGGCTGGCTGGTATGGACCCGTTGAGAAAATTGCTGCTCAACCCTCTGCGGGGAGGAGTGCACAGCCACACGCGGAGGGAGGCGGGGGGGGAGGGGAGGGCAGGCGGAGGGCAGGGGGAGGATAAGGGAGGAGGACAAAAGTGGGGCAGGGGAAGGAGAATGGGAGCGAGACGGGAAGGACAGGTGGAGACAATAAGTCGTTAGGAAGGAGAAAATGACTTCGAAAAGACGTGATAGGGACGACAAGAGGAGGGCGGGAACAGAAGTGTTAGACGGGCGGAATGGGGGCATTGAGAATGGAGGGGGGAGGAAAATCAAAGAGTCGGTACGTGGGTGATTGGGAGAGTGAGTGTTAGCGTACAGGAGGTGGGAAGATGGGGGTGAGTGGGTGAGTGAGTGGGTGGTGAGTGAATGGATGGTGAGTAAGTGGGTGGTGAGTGAGTGGGTGGTGAGTGGATGGGTGGTGAGTGAGTGGGTGGTGAGTGAGTGGGTGGTGAGTGAATGGGTGGTGAGTGAGTGGGTGGTGAGTGGATGGGTGGTGAGTGAGTGGGTGGTGAGTGAGTGGGTGGTGAGTGAATGGGTGGTGAGTGAGTGGGTGGTGAGTGGATGGGTGGTGAGTGCGTGGGTGGTGAGTGGATGGGTGGTGAGTGGATGGGTGGTGAGTGGATGGGTGGTGAGTGGATGGGTGGTGAGTGGATGGGTGGTGAGTGGATGGGTGGTGAGTGGATGGGTGGTGAGTGGATGGGTGGTGAGTGGATGGGTGGTGAGTGGATGGGTGGTGAGTGGATGGGTGGTGAGTGGATGGGTGGTGAGTGGATGGGTGGTGAGTGGATGGGTGGTGAGTGGATGGGTGGTGAGTGGATGGGTGGTGAGTGGATGGGTGGTGAGTGGATGGGTGGCGAGTGGATGGGTGGTGAGTGGATGGGTGGTGAGTGGATGGGTGGTGAGTGGATGGGTGGTGAGTGGATGGGTGGTGAGTGGATGGGTGGTGAGTGGATGGGTGGTGAGTGGATGGGTGGTGAGTGGATGGGTGGTGAGTGGATGGGTGGTGAGTGGATGGGTGGTGAGTGGATGGGTGGTGAGTGGATGGGTGGTGAGTGGATGGGTGAGAATCAGAGAATCACAGCACAGGGTAAGAGAAACATCTTCTGAGGCGCCTGTGAGGCGCCTCAAAGGGTGGAGAGCTGGATGACCAGGCCATGAGGGTGCTGGACGGGGACTCGTGTGTGGACCCCAGCCAGCCAGGTCGCTGTGATGGACGAATCACGCAGCACGAGTCACAGGTGGAACACGGGATGGGGAACGAGGGGGACGGGGAATGAGGAAGGGGGATTCCTCAGATCATGGGTGCAGAACAGCAGGAGGAGCAAAGGCAGGGGGAGCAAAGGCAGGGGGGGGAAAGGCAGGGGGAGCAGAGGCAGGGGGAGCAAAGGCAGGGGGAGCAAAGGCAGGGGGAGCAAAGGCAGGGGGAGCAAAGGCAGGGGGAGCAAAGGCAGGAGGAGCAAAGGCAGGGGGAGCAAAGGCAGGGGGAGCAAAGGCAGGGGGAGCAAAGGCAGGGGGAGCAAAGGCAGGGGGAGCAAAGGCAGGGGGAGCAAAGGCAGGGGGAGCAAAGGCAGGGGGAGCAAAGGCAGGAGGAGCAAAGGCAGGGGGAGCAAAGGCAGGAGGAGCAAAGGCAGGAGGAGCAAAGGCAGGAGGAGCAAAAGCAGGAGGAGCAAAGGCAGGGGGAGCAAAGGCAGGGGGAGCAAAGGCAGGAGGAGCAAAGGCAGGGGGAGCAAAGGCAGGAGGAGCAAAGGCAGGAGCAGCAAAGGCAGGGGGAGCAAAGGCAGGGGGAGCAAAGGCAGGAGGAGCAAAGGCAGGGGGAGCAAAGGCAGGAGGAGCAAAGGCAGGAGGAGCAAAGGCAGGGGGAGCAAAGGCAGGGGGAGCAAAGGCAGGGGGAGCAAAGGCAGGGGGAGCAAAGGAAGGGGGAGCAAAGGCAGGGGGAGCAAGAGCAAAAGGAGGGAAAATGGGAGGAGCCAAGGCAGGAGGAGCAAGAGCGAATGGAGGAAGAATGGGAGGAGAAAGAGCGGGAGGAGCAAGAGCGAATGGAGGAAGAATGGGAGGAGAAAGAGCGGGAGGAGCAAGAGCGAATGGAGGAAGAATGGGAGGAGAAAGAGCGGGAGGAGCAAGAGCGAATGGAGGAAGAATGGGAGGAGAAAGAGCGGGAGGAGCAAGAGCGAATGGAGGAAGAATGGGAGGAGAAAGAGCGGGAGGAGCAAGAGCGAATGGAGGAAGAATGGGAGGAGAAAGAGCGGGAGGAGCAAGAGCGAATGGAGGAAGAATGGGAGGAGAAAGAGCGGGAGGAGCAAGAGCGAATGGAGGAAGAATGGGAGGAGAAAGAGCGGGAGGAGCAAAAGCGAATGGAGGAAGAATGGGAGGAGAAAGAGCGGGAGGAGCAAGAGCGAATGGAGGAAGAATGGGAGGAGAAAGAGCGGGAGGAGCAAGAGCGAATGGAGGAAGAATGGGAGGAGAAAGAGCGGGAGGAGCAAGAGCGAATGGAGGAAGAATGGGAGGAGAAAGAGCGGGAGGAGCAAGAGAGAGCGAATGGAGGAAGAATGGGAGGAGAAAGAGCGGGAGGAGCAAGAGCGAATGGAGGAAGAATGGGAGGAGAAAGAGCGGGAGGAGCAAGAGCGAATGGAGGAAGAATGGGAGGAGAAAGAGCGGGAGGAGCAAGAGCGAATGGAGGAAGAATGGGAGGAGAAAGAGCGGGAGGAGCAAGAGCGAATGGAGGAAGAATGGGAGGAGAAAGAGCGGGAGGAGCAAGAGCGAATGGAGGAAGAATGGGAGGAGAAAGAGCGGGAGGAGCAAGAGCGAATGGAGGAAGAATGGGAGGAGAAAGAGCGGGAGGAGCAAGAGAGAGCGAATGGAGGAAGAATGGGAGGAGAAAGAGCGGGAGGAGCAAGAGCGAATGGAGGAAGAATGGGAGGAGAAAGAGCGGGAGGAGCAAGAGCGAATGGAGGAAGAATGGGAGGAGAAAGAGCGGGAGGAGCAAGAGCGAATGGAGGAAGAATGGGAGGAGAAAGAGCGGGAGGAGCAAGAGCGAATGGAGGAAGAATGGGAGGAGAAAGAGCGGGAGGAGCAAGAGCGAATGGAGGAAGAATGGGAGGAGAAAGAGCGGGAGGAGCAAGAGCGAATGGAGGAAGAATGGGAGGAGAAAGAGCGGGAGGAGCAAGAGCGAATGGAGGAAGAATGGGAGGAGAAAGAGCGGGAGGAGCAAGAGCGAATGGAGGAAGAATGGGAGGAGAAAGAGCGGGAGGAGCAAAGAGCGAATGGAGGAAGAATGGGAGGAGAAAGAGCGGGAGGAGCAAGAGCGAATGGAGGAAGAATGGGAGGAGAAAGAGCGGGAGGAGCAAGAGCGAATGGAGGAAGAATGGGAGGAGAAAGAGCGGGAGGAGCAAGAGCGAATGGAGGAAGAATGGGAGGAGAAAGAGCGGGAGGAGCAAGAGCGAATGGAGGAAGAATGGGAGGAGAAAGAGCGGGAGGAGCAAGAGCGAATGGAGGAAGAATGGGAGGAGAAAGAGCGGGAGGAGCAAGAGCGAATGGAGGAAGAATGGGAGGAGAAAGAGCGGGAGGAGCAAGAGCGAATGGAGGAAGAATGGGAGGAGAAAGAGCGGGAGGAGCAAGAGCGAATGGAGGAAGAATGGGAGGAGAAAGAGCGGGAGGAGCAAGAGCGAATGGAGGAAGAATGGGAGGAGAAAGAGCGGGAGGAGCAAGAGCGAATGGAGGAAGAATGGGAGGAGAAAGAGCGGGAGGAGCAAGAGCGAATGGAGGAAGAATGGGAGGAGAAAGAGCGGGAGGAGCAAGAGCGAATGGAGGAAGAATGGGAGGAGAAAGAGCGGGAGGAGCAAGAGCGAATGGAGGAAGAATGGGAGGAGAAAGAGCGGGAGGAGCAAGAGCGAATGGAGGAAGAATGGGAGGAGAAAGAGCGGGAGGAGCAAGAGCGAATGGAGGAAGAATGGGAGGAGAAAGAGCGGGAGGAGCAAGAGCGAATGGAGGAAGAATGGGAGGAGAAAGAGCGGGAGGAGCAAGAGCGAATGGAGGAAGAATGGGAGGAGAAAGAGCGGGAGGAGCAAGAGCGAATGGAGGAAGAATGGGAGGAGAAAGAGCGGGAGGAGCAAGAGCGAATGGAGGAAGAATGGGAGGAGAAAGAGCGGGAGGAGCAAGAGCGAATGGAGGAAGAATGGGAGGAGAAAGAGCGGGAGGAGCAAGAGCGAATGGAGGAAGAATGGGAGGAGAAAGAGCGGGAGGAGCAAGAGCGAATGGAGGAAGAATGGGAGGAGAAAGAGCGGGAGGAGCAAGAGCGAATGGAGGAAGAATGGGAGGAGAAAGAGCGGGAGGAGCAAGAGCGAATGGAGGAAGAATGGGAGGAGAAAGAGCGGGAGGAGCAAGAGCGAATGGAGGAAGAATGGGAGGAGAAAGAGCGGGAGGAGCAAGAGCGAATGGAGGAAGAATGGGAGGAGAAAGAGCGGGAGGAGCAAGAGCGAATGGAGGAAGAATGGGAGGAGAAAGAGCGGGAGGAGCAAGAGCGAATGGAGGAAGAATGGGAGGAGAAAGAGCGGGAGGAGCAAGAGCGAATGGAGGAAGAATGGGAGGAGAAAGAGCGGGAGGAGCAAGAGCGAATGGAGGAAGAATGGGAGGAGAAAGAGCGGGAGGAGCAAGAGCGAATGGAGGAAGAATGGGAGGAGAAAGAGCGGGAGGAGCAAGAGCGAATGGAGGAAGAATGGGAGGAGAAAGAGCGGGAGGAGCAAGAGCGAATGGAGGAAGAATGGGAGGAGAAAGAGCGGGAGGAGCAAGAGCGAATGGAGGAAGAATGGGAGGAGAAAGAGCGGGAGGAGCAAGAGCGAATGGAGGAAGAATGGGAGGAGAAAGAGCGGGAGGAGCAAGAGCGAATGGAGGAAGAATGGGAGGAGAAAGAGCGGGAGGAGCAAGAGCGAATGGAGGAAGAATGGGAGGAGAAAGAGCGGGAGGAGCAAGAGCGAATGGAGGAAGAATGGGAGGAGAAAGAGCGGGAGGAGCAAGAGCGAATGGAGGAAGAATGGGAGGAGAAAGAGCGGGAGGAGCAAGAGCGAATGGAGGAAGAATGGGAGGAGAAAGAGCGGGAGGAGCAAGAGCGAATGGAGGAAGAATGGGAGGAGAAAGAGCGGGAGGAGCAAGAGCGAATGGAGGAAGAATGGGAGGAGAAAGAGCGGGAGGAGCAAGAGCGAATGGAGGAAGAATGGGAGGAGAAAGAGCGGGAGGAGCAAGAGCGAATGGAGGAAGAATGGGAGGAGAAAGAGCGGGAGGAGCAAGAGCGAATGGAGGAAGAATGGGAGGAGAAAGAGCGGGAGGAGCAAGAGCGAATGGAGGAAGAATGGGAGGAGAAAGAGCGGGAGGAGCAAGAGCGAATGGAGGAAGAATGGGAGGAGAAAGAGCGGGAGGAGCAAGAGCGAATGGAGGAAGAATGGGAGGAGAAAGAGCGGGAGGAGCAAGAGCGAATGGAGGAAGAATGGGAGGAGAAAGAGCGGGAGGAGCAAGAGCGAATGGAGGAAGAATGGGAGGAGAAAGAGCGGGAGGAGCAAGAGCGAATGGAGGAAGAATGGGAGGAGAAAGAGCGGGAGGAGCAAGAGCGAATGGAGGAAGAATGGGAGGAGAAAGAGCGGGAGGAGCAAGAGCGAATGGAGGAAGAATGGGAGGAGAAAGAGCGGGAGGAGCAAGAGCGAATGGAGGAAGAATGGGAGGAGAAAGAGCGGGAGGAGCAAGAGCGAATGGAGGAAGAATGGGAGGAGAAAGAGCGGGAGGAGCAAGAGCGAATGGAGGAAGAATGGGAGGAGAAAGAGCGGGAGGAGCAAGAGCGAATGGAGGAAGAATGGGAGGAGAAAGAGCGGGAGGAGCAAGAGCGAATGGAGGAAGAATGGGAGGAGAAAGAGCGGGAGGAGCAAGAGCGAATGGAGGAAGAATGGGAGGAGAAAGAGCGGGAGGAGCAAGAGCGAATGGAGGAAGAATGGGAGGAGAAAGAGCGGGAGGAGCAAGAGCGAATGGAGGAAGAATGGGAGGAGAAAGAGCGGGAGGAGCAAGAGCGAATGGAGGAAGAATGGGAGGAGAAAGAGCGGGAGGAGCAAGAGCGAATGGAGGAAGAATGGGAGGAGAAAGAGCGGGAGGAGCAAGAGCGAATGGAGGAAGAATGGGAGGAGAAAGAGCGGGAGGAGCAAGAGCGAATGGAGGAAGAATGGGAGGAGAAAGAGCGGGAGGAGCAAGAGCGAATGGAGGAAGAATGGGAGGAGAAAGAGCGGGAGGAGCAAGAGCGAAT